AAGAACAATTGAATTGACTGGTGGAGCTCATGTGATATCCGTGATTCTGTGCTTTTACTATGACGACGATGTGCTACGGTGGGATATTGTTCTTTAATCGCAACCTGAACTATATTGAACTTTGGCTTCTACTTTGTCAATGAACCATGTTGCAAAGGGCTGTAGATTAGTATTTAGTGAGAACTTGAGTCTTGAGGTAGTTTTTGAATCATGAAATATCTTCAAGCCATAGAAATGATCTTTTATATTAATATCCGCTCTCGGTTAAAGTGGGTAAGTGGTTCTCTTCGATCAGATAGGTTCATGAATCAAACCTGTTCAACCAACACTCGGAACACATTAGACAGAGGGAGAATAGCAGGGCTGATCACTTAATCCATAGAGGGAAAAAAAAATCAGATTAACGAGCGTTTTTGGTGGAGCCTTACCCCTGTCACCGAGACTCTTGATATCTCTGAATCCAGGTGTCTACCTAGGTACGCTAATTCAATGTCTCACCATTTTCATCAGGTCATTGGGGGAATGCGTGCCCCCCTCCATCTTGTGCGCACTGACACGATTCCGTGTGCATCTAGTCTCTGAACGAATGAGATCTGAGTATGAAGTTTTTTTTTTTAAGAAGATGTACATAGACAATACCTAGTACATTTAGGTCTGGGTGTGTGACATACTGGAATTTTTGCCCCTCGTCCCTGATTTCCCTAAGATATTCAGAGATCGACCTCCTTACATGAAGAAATGTCAGTTAAAATCCAAAATAGCAAAAGAAATCGAAGGTATTTCTAGGTAAAATAATCGAAATCCGAAATAACCAAGCCTGGAATACTGGAAGTCCATCTCATGTACCAGTCAGTACCTCCACAGTAACTTTGGTACTTGGCTCTACCGCTAAACCCAGTAACTGACCGTACCCCCGTTCATTTTTTTCTCTCTCTTTCCACCCTCCGAAGGAAAAAAAAGGTCTGGCTTTCTCCCGTCTTTTCTTATCTGTGAATAGTCCCGTTATATTTACAATCGAGTTTATCTGTGTTGGGACAAAACCAGACTGCTTGTTCGACCGGTCGCGACCCGTCTAGCCCAGCATGGACGGTGGCCAGACCTCTTCTAATCCCGCCCCCGCTGGGAACTCCAGCGATTTTGTTAGTGAAATCCTATCCTGGTTCAATATCTTTACTAACAAGATGGATAGGTACGCAAGCTGTACAAGTGAGTCTTGCTCTAACTTCCCCTGGCTAGGCCTTTTATCTGATCTTTCCAGAATGCTCGAGGACCCAACCTATGCATCCATCGTACGCTGGGGTGATGAGGGGGATTCCTTTGTGGTATTGGAGGTAATGCGCCCGTGGCTTTGTGTGGCCGAACCAATTTAGTCCCTTTGTGTGCTTGGCTAACTCAAATCCCGATAGTGCGAGAAATTCACCAAGACCATCCTACCGAAGCACTTTAAACATAGCAACTTTGCCAGTTTCGTACGCCAGCTGAACAAATATGACTTTCACAAGGTTCGACAAAACAACGAAGAAAATGGCCAGTCCCCATATGGGCAGAATGTAGGCACATCTCCCCCGGAGATCGGTTGGAGGGGCTCACAAATCATACAGGCATGGGAATTTAAACACCCAGAGTTCCGCGCAAATAGCAAAGAATCCCTCGACAACATTCGACGAAAGGCACCCGCACCCCGAAAACAAACTCAGCCCAGCGATGATTCCGTACCCACGCAACAGATTGATCTTCTGAACCAGCAGATTGTAGCGCAACAGCAGCAGATCCAACATCTATCAGACCGATATGCACAGCTCACGGTGGATCATCAGCTTATGTTACAGGAAGTGATGCGAGTGCAGAAGACGGTGTTGAACCACGAGAATGTCATTCACCAGGTGATGACCTACTTGCTTTCGGTGGATGCGCGCCAGCGTCGAGACAGCAAGGCCGTGACATTCCAAGCGCCTGGAACAACAATGAGCCCTTCCCAGGTCGGTGCAGTGGATGATGAACCCTCATCGCCCCTGCAGCAAGCCTCGAAGCTCCTGAATGATATGAACGCCGAACTACAATTCAATATGAACGGCGTCGATTCGATGAATGATCCTCAAAAGACCGTTGTGTCAACTCCCACTATGGATCCAAATGCGCGAAATGGTTCGCTCCGTCCCACGACAACTGCCCCGCCAAACCCAGGAATTGTTTATCCCAAGATGGCAGGCGATCTAGAGCAGGTAGTCTATCCCGTGGGCGCCACGAACGGCATAGATCCCATGTACAGTGAACATATCAACAATGTTCCATACCCAATGCCCGCCAAACCGGACATGGATACGTCAGATGCTCGTCGTCAGTTCCCCGACAATCGGAAAAAGAGCACGAACGTGGACCCTGGTTGGGTGCGCAGCCCACAGATTCTTTTGGTTGAGGACGATGCCACTTGTCGGCAGATTGGTGGCAAATTCCTATACTCTTTCTCGTGTGTTATTGATACCGCGGTACGTTATCGATCTCATTCCATTGAGCAGCATAAGTTTGCTAATATATCCCATAGTTTGACGGCTTGGAAGCTGTGAACAAAATCCAGGGTGGCTCAAAATACGACTTAATTCTAATGGACATCATCATGCCGAATTTGGACGGTGTATCAGCATGCCATCTCATTCGCCAATTTGATCGCACCCCTATTATCGCCATGACCTCAAACATACGAAGCGACGACATTCAGCTCTATTTCCAGCATGGTTAGACAAACATCCAAATTGAATACAAGTCTTCCACTAATTTTTTTTTAGGAATGGATGATGTTCTTCCGAAACCGTTCACCCGCAAGAGTCTCCTCGATATGCTTGAGAGACATTTGGATCATCTCAAGATTTCCCCACAGAACCCAGGAATGGAGCCAGTACGGCCGTCAGCAGCCGCCGTGACCATGGCAGCTGCAAATCAAAATTCAGCAACCCAGTCGATCAAAGAAGACAGCTCTCCAGGCCAGTCGCCCGCTGGGTCAATGAACAATTGGCAATCGCCCGGCCAATTCCAAAACATGCAAGCTGTTCCACCGAACATGCCAGCCGTTCAAGGGCCATATGTTACTGCTCCGACAGCCGCCTACACTGTTGACCAGAATGGCGTCCAATACCCAGCACCACCCGTAGGAGTCCCAACTGGGGGCGCTCCTATCCGCCCCCCGCATCGCCGTCAAATCTCGGATATGGCCGGTGCCACCGACAACCCCAACATGCCGAAACGACAGCGCATGTACTCCCAAACTCAACAACCAATGCTTGCCGTGCAAGCTGGCCGACCTGGCTAAACCAACTTCCGGCCAATTATCCTGGCTTTGATTTTCCATATTTCACCTTTCCGCCTGTCCATTGACTCACGATTCCCACTTGTCTATAACGAGGATTCGAAATTTCAAATCGTACATTTTGCTACTCTTTGCGTCTTGAATCGCCGCGGGTATCTTCCGCTTTTTACAGGTTCTGGCGTTGGGTTTGATTTAAATTGGGTGGCGAATTGTGTGCGACTTTATATGCGTCAGCTATATCCACCGTGGGTTCATGCATTTCCAAGGTTATGGAGAGATTGTTTCGTCAGGTACATATTTACAAACATATTATTATTACTCTCTCACATTCTATCCGTGTCCCTCCGGGGGCACTTAATTTCTGGCCTACCATTGCTTCAGCACTTGTAGGGAACTTGGTAGATTACTATATACCATTTTCCTAGAGCTACCCAAACTACGGAGTACTCCGTACCTAAGCTAGAGTCGATCTGAAGCGGGATCTCCACTTAATGGGCGACCACCCGCATTCCCTCGATTTTGGCGGGTAGGGCGGACGAACTGCAGGGGGAAATGAACGGTCTAGACCTTCCAATTTGATATTAAAATATTTAACCTCCTTTCTAGGTCCAGGAGGGCCCAGACCTTGCGGGGAGTTCTGGGCCTCTGGGATTTGTGGCTCGGGTTTGCGCCACGTGTTTGTTTGGTTTGCATTTAAAGCTACATTGGACTACATGGGCTTTATCAAAACCAACACCACCCTTCCAGGATACCTTGGACATATACACTGAGATAGAGCAGGATGTACCACGTAGCCCTAGCTACTAAACTCGAGGTGCTAGCACATCCCCATGAGAGACCGACTGCTAAAAGCTGCCAACTATGCTACTATGTTCAATGCCGGCATATCGTATAGAAGCACCTTGCCTTATGCTGAGCGCGATGAGACATAAAATCGCTCCGGTGCTGCAAGCCATAAGGTGTACTTTACAGACAGTACGGCTGAGCGCGGGCTCTATCTGCGAATGTCTCAACCAGGCCATGTTTGACGCGTTTGAGTTGTTTGATAGTATTATGTTCAAATCATGGTTTGAAGGCCGACTCAATACATCAAGAGGACTGGTTTGGTGGCGTTAGATTGTGCTGTCAATGCGTACGGGGCTGAGATGCATCCTCGAGCTCGGGACTATGTCTCACCCTATTGAGGACGACAACATACTTAGGGTGATGACGCAGTACTTTATATGGTCGGTATGTTCAACGGAGCGACAAAGCAGACAAGTGGGTTAGTGAGTTCACCCTTGTATATCTCATGGATTTCCGCACCACACATGCCCCAGTATGACGGCGAAGACATGATGGGCTAAATCTTAGGAACATAGATTTGGCGGAGTCTTTGGCTTATAGAGAATGCGGGGTGCACATCTATAGAGACACTACGTTATGTAGGCAGATAAGGAACTGGAAAGCGCATATAGATAGAGGAAGGATTTGGCAAGGAGTACAGGGAGCATCGTTTCATCAGCCTATATCTCCACCTGAAATGAATGAAACCACTAAGCGTTAGCTATTTAGGAGATATTTAGGCATCGCAAAAGCTTTTCATTGGAAATCGATCGATGTAATCTTGTAAGGTCGTCACTCATAATGCTAGAATCCAGAATAAAACCAACCGACAAAATGAGAATAGAATAAGAAAATTCGAAAACCCGTAAGTCCCTTATGCTTTCTTCTCGGTGTCTGGCGCTTCGGATGAATCACCAGTGTTTTCAGGCTCTGCATTGCCTGTTTGGGGCTCTGTAGAAGGGTCTTCATTCTTGGCTTCTTCCTCTTCTTTCGGTTTAGTATCCGCAAGGACAATATCACCGTCCTTGTCGGCAGGTGAGTCGGCCTTTTTCTGTTCTTCTATTTCCTGGGGAGCAGTGGCAGCAGCTGCAGCTGGGACATCGGCAGCACCGTCTGTGTCAAGACTCATTTCGACGCCTTTGCCGTCTTGCAGACCCATGTCTTCTACGCCGAGCAGGATTGGACCACGGGCGTGAGGGACCTCATCAGATGGCTCTGGTGAGGCGGTAGCAGCCCCTCCTTCAGTCTCGGAGGTTACTAAGGTGGCGGTGCCCGGTTCTTCCTCGGGCTGTGTAGGTAAGGCTTCGGTGCCTGGGGGAAGACGTTAGTGAACACGAAATCAATGGTTCGGTAATAATGGATGAAAAATACCCTCGACTAATATGCCTGCATCCCCATTGGCATCCTCGCCTTCAAACGAGGCATTATTTAACCATGGGATCGGAGTAAGTAGCGCACCGCCCAGAGATTCATCGCTTCCAAGTCCGTGGGCAAAGTCCGGGGTTATATAAGCCCCGCTGCTATTGCCAGGGAGCACCAACCCATTCGTGTTTGCATTTGTGGTAGCTGGCGTTTGAAATGGGAAAATATCTGCGGAGCTTGTCACCGAGACAACGCGATCGACAGCACGTAGGTATGCGGGTAACGTTCTATAGTGCTTGGTGGGGTAGAGTACCAGCTCTGCGAGTCTCTGAATGGTGTGTGGAGGTTTATCCTCGAAAAAAGATTTGATTGACGAGCGGATAGCGCTCAGAAGAAATGCAAGCGGGGGTGGAAGCTGGCCATCCGTGCTCGCACCAGATGGCTGGGGCTGTGAGTCTGGCACTCGCTCACCTGAAGGAGAGCCAGTTCGCGCTGCCTGGGGTGAGATCTGGATAGCGGTAGGGGAGGTGTTTTCCTTGTTGCTGCTTTCGGGTGGGATGGAGTTTGCCTGGGAAGAATGGTTGGGAAATGGTTGCTGGCCGATGGGTTCGGGGCGCGCTTGAGGCATGGGGAACACATTGTACACGATCTGGAGCTACTGGTCAGATATGTCGGTCAGGGACATCGAGATATAGCGTACATATTCAAGTCGCTCAATAAGTGGCCCAGCCATGCCGTGCCATCTCTCTCTATATCAGCACGTTAGCCTCAAGAAGTGTTTGGATATCTTGGCAGTTTCACGTACAACTCTATCGGGCCGCCATTGGCGGCTGTTTGGAGAGCTTCCTCGTCTGTAATTTGGACGTCAGTAAGGCTCATTCGAACTCAGACCAAAACTGCGACCGTGATGGTCAACCTACCCAGAGACATTGTCCAGTCAGCTGTGCATGGAGAAGCAGAGAGAGTCGAAGCTGCGACCAGGGCGCGCGGCAGTCGACATCGGTGATTGGCCCGAGCTTATCGATAGCGCCACGTGACTCTCCGCGAATTTTCGGAGTTGAGGGGCACCGTCGATCTCCCATTTAACTTATCCCGATCAATTGACTCATTCATCCCTTCGATCGGACATCATGTGGAACTCACCAAAGGTCGGAATCCTCGGTGGTGGCCAATTGGGCCGCATGCTTGTCGAGTCCGCCAACCGATTGAATATTCAGGCCAACGTCCTAGACGTCGACAACTCCCCCGCCAAGCAGATCAGTTCCCACGATGGCCATGTGACAGGCTCCTTCAAGGAGCCTGACGCCGTGCGTAAGTTGGCTGAGACCTGCGATGTCATCACTGCTGAGATCGAGCACGTGGATACCTACGCTCTTGAGGAGGTTGCGTCGAAGGTACGGGTGGAGCCCAGCTGGCAGGCTATTCGGACAATCCAGAACAAGTTCAACCAGAAGGAGCACCTCCGCAAATATGGAATCCCTATGGCTGAACACCGGGAACTGGTGAACAACACACCCGAGGAATTGGCTCAGATCGGAGAGCAGTTGGGCTACCCGATGATGTTGAAGTCGAAGACTATGGCATATGATGGACGTGGTGAGTCATATGTGATGCCGAGATTGTATACATTTCTGTTAACATGTTGAAGGAAACTTCCGTGTCAACTCCAAGGAAGATATTCCAGAGGCCCTCGAGGCTCTGAAGGACCGCCCGCTCTACTCTGAAAAATGGGCTTACTTCAAGATGGTTAGCATCTACAGTTGAACACGCCCCATCATGCACATCTCTAATATCATTTGTCCACAGGAACTCGCCGTCATGGTTATAAAGACCAAGGATGACGTGCTCTCCTACCCTACCGTTGAAACCGTCCAAGAGGACTCAATATGCAAGCTGGTGTATGCGCCAGCCCGCAACGTCTCCGACGCTATCAACCAGCAAGCGCAAGCTCTCGCCCGCAAAGCCGTTGCCGCCTTCGAAGGCAAAGGCGCTTTCGGCGTGGAGATGTTCCTCCTAGAAGACAACAGCCTCATGCTCTGCGAGCTTGCAAGCAGAATCCACAATTCCGGCCACTGGACAATCGAAGGCTGCGCGCTATCCCAATTCGACAGCCACATCCGTGCCATCCTTGACCTACCCATTCCGCCCAAGAGTCTTGAACTTCTCCAGCCCTCAATCATGCTCAACATCATCGGCGGCGCAACCCCTGATTCCCACCTCAAGGCCACCCAAGCCGCCCTCTCCATCCCCAATGCCAGCATCCACCTCTACAGCAAGGGTGCCGCAAAGCCTGGCCGCAAAATGGGCCATGTCACCGTCACCGGCGCGACTATGCACGAAGCCGAGACTCTTATCCAGCCACTCGTCGATGTCGTCGACACCATGCGCGCCCAGCGCCCCGATATCAAAACAAAGGCTGCCCCCTCCGGCCCCTCTAAGCCCACACCCTCTGTCGCCGTTATCATGGGTTCCGACAGTGATCTGAAGACCCTTGTCCCAGGTCTCAAGCTGCTACGTGATTACTTCGGCATCGAGCCTGAGGTTGAGATCACCTCTGCTCACCGCACCCCCGACTACATGGCCGAGTATGCGGGTCAGGCTGCCTCGCGCGGCATCAAGGTGATCATCGCTGCCGCCGGTGGCGCTGCCCACCTTCCCGGTATGGCGGCCGCTCACACTGCCCTCCCCGTCATCGGCGTGCCGGTTAAAGGAAGCTCGCTTGACGGCGTCGATAGTTTGTACAGCATTGTGCAGATGCCGCGTGGTACGTTATTTTCCGCTTTACTCAACTTCTTTACCTCATTCACACGATCCATATATCTAACAATGCATAATAGGCGTCCCCGTCGCCACTGTTGGTATCAACAACAGCATCAACGCTGCCCTCCTCGCCGCGCGTGTGCTGGGCTCTTTCGACCCGGCCATCCAACGCAAGGTCGAGGCGTACGCCGAGGCTGCTCGTGCCGAGAATATGGAGTTGAAGGGTACCAAGTTGCGCGAGTTGGGGTGGCAGAAGTACTTTGATCAGATGTAGACGGTAAGCATGTAGACATTTGTGATATGAGATTTGATACGAAGCCGACGCCGAAAGAAAAAGGAAAACGTGTGAGGGTTTCAACCTTCCCTGGGCTTCTTACATAATGGAGTTCAGTTTATTTCTTTTATAGATGACAATGAATGACTTTTAAGCTTATTCTCAGCTTCCACAGGTCTAGATTTTTAAGGTCTTTGCTAAAGACGTGATTTACTCGGGAATGGTCAACGCAGACAACGGTGGCAATATGTATTAGGCTACCGTTAAGTAATACTAGTACAAAAGAGAAAAGAAATGGAACGTCCGTAGTGCACAAGGGGAAATCATAGCAAAGAAACAAGAAAGATCAAGAGACAAAAGGAAGTAACGGGACGAGAATGTCATAACGATTTTGGCCACATTTGGCTTAGACGGTGGTTCCGATGTTGTTGATGGCAGTACCGTTGGTAACAGTACCGGTAGTGATGCCGTTGACGCCATTTGTGCCGTTGGCCCCATGCTTAATTGCGTCACCCATGGTCTGGGGCTTGCCATTGACGAAAGCCTCGTCAACCTCATCGGAGAAGCCACGGGCCGGTTGTCCAGAGACCTTGCTACCGTTGATGCCGTTGACAGTGCTGGAAGCAGCGGTCGTGGTGGTTCCAGAGGCACCGCCGACAGAAGCAGCTCCAGCGGCACCTGTACCTTGGCTTCTAGCACTGTGGGACTTGTTGGTGATGGGGCCGCTGGACGGGATGCCGGTGGACTCGGATGCGCTGCCGAGGCTAAAGATGGGGGACTCCCAGCGGTCACCCTTGGCAGCAAGCTCAGCATACTCGGTGGCCTTGTTGGATACACCGCCGGGAAGCTCGATGTCAGGGAAGATGGATTCGTGGAGAGTCATAACAGTCTGGACCTGGGTGTCGCGCTTAGCAACGCTCTCAGCCTGCTTGGCCTTGGCTTGAGTGCGAGCCCGGATGGCATCAGCGTAGCGAGAGAAGATTGAGGGCGCGTTCGCAGGATCCTCGCGGGCGGCCTGCTGGGCACGCATGGCCTCGGTGTGGATGTCCTTGGCGAAGAGGTCGCCCTTCCTGAAGGCCTCCCGGATCTGACCCTCGACCACCTTCTGCAGAGCAGGCCTGACCACGCGGAAGAGCATGGGCTTGAAGGCGTTGAAGAGCAGCTTGTGGCTGGACTTTCTCAACTTGATATCCATGTTCTTGATGGACACAGCTACCCTGTCCAACTTGAAGAAGTGCTCCTTGTCGTGCTTCTGGGCAGTAGAAGCGGCAAGTTTGACGCTGAGACCTTCACCACCGAGGAAAATATCCATAATTCCTCGATCGGTGATGGCGGGGAAGCCCTCCTTCTTCTTAATGTAGTAACTGATATCACGGAGATCGGCCTGGATACCAGACATGGATATCATGATCTTATTATCACGCTTGTTGGTAATCTTCTTGCGGCCCCAGCGGAAGTAGTTGTCGCTGCCGAACTCAATGATATTGGGCATCAGATTGTCACCCTCGATGCACAAGTTCTCAACCACAACATCGACCATGGGGTCCGAGACCTCGATGCGGGGGATTGGGATGTAGCGGACATTCTCGAGGAAGTTGGGAATGATGACATCGCGAAGATCGCGAAGGAGATCCGGCTTGAAGACAGCTTGACCACTGGCGTCGTGTCCCAGATCCCTGAAAAGCTTTTGGAACGACTCAGCAAGGGCTTGGTTTTGAGGGTCCTTCTCGAATTGATCGGCCATCAACTTGATTTCGTCGACAATACGGTCAGCGTCACCGCGGTAACGCTCGCGCAGAAGGTAACGGCCCTTTTCGTAAACATCGTTCCACTGGCGGTTGCATTCGTCCTCCATGATGAAGCCTTGCTCGCGCAGAGATTTGCTATGTCCAGTCAGCTTTTGTTATGTGGGAAAGAATTCAAAAAACATACCGAATCAGGTTGTCGACGTTCGTGAACCAGTTTCGGAGTTCAGGATCTCTCTCGGCATTGCGGTAAATTATGTTCAGCGAGTCAAAGAAGCTGTCCAGAGAGGTATTGTTGGCAAAGCGTTCGATGAGGGTGCGCAAATTGTACTGAGCAGACTGGACATTGTCGGTCTTCAGGACGTTACGGGCAGAGCTAGTGCCCTTTTTGGAGAGCTCCTGTGTGTGTCCGGCATACTGCTCAGCCATGCTCAACAAGGTCTCGACGGCTTGCTGGTCTGCATAATTCATTAGTAATCCTTCGCCATCAGTATCGAGATTACGGCTGACTTACAGTCGGCATGACCCTGAATCTCGATGATCATCTTCTTCAGACGCCAGACTGTCTGCTCGCGACGCTCCTTAGGAATCTTCTCGGACAAGTAGTTCTTGGTCTTGTCGGAATATTCCCTGCTTTTGCTCTGCGGTGAAACGCCAGTCTCATCCTCAGCGACCGCCTCAACGCCTTCGTTCTGCTGTGCTAGTGTCAATTTGGGCAGATCAATGATATATCAGAGATACATACAGCCTTAGCCTTGTTCTTCTTCAATTTGGATTTCAAGTCATCCTTGGAGATATTGGGCTTCTCATGCCACACGTTTTCCTCTGCAGGTTGGTCGATCTGCGAAAGGTCCTCTTGCGAGGGACGGACCTGGTTGGCGGCCTTTTGGGAAGCATCGGCAGCAATATCTTTACCAAGAGTCATGGCATCGCTCACTGCGCATTGTTAGAGAATATCCATGATCCACAAACGGAAGTTTACACTTACATAGTTTTCTAAACTCTCCGTTGGTGATCATGAGTGTGCCCAGGGTTTTCAGACCATCAATGGCCTTGCTCGCATCCTGCTGACTGCTCTCCTTGTCGATAGGGAGCCCAGGGCTCTTGCCCTCGACATCTCCCCCTGAAATCTTCTGGGCTTGCCAGATAAAGTCTTGCAGAAGTTCACCCTCGTTCTTGACCAGCAGCATCTTCTTAGCTGCGTCGATGACATTGCGCAGATCTGCCACCAGGGTCTTTCCGTCGGACGAGAGTTCCTTTGGTGGAGATCTGAGGGCCTTGGAGTTCAAGGCACTGTTCAAAGCGATGTCGCATTGCTTGTTCTATTGGAGGCAGGGACCTAGTTAGTATTTGGGACACAGCTAGTGACGGCAGACGATTGAGACGGACCGAGGGGAGCTTGCTATTCTTGAAGGCTATAGCAAAGGTGGTTAGCACGGCAAGGATCGATTGAGGTGAGATGAAGCTTGACTTACCATGGTAGATACCAAACAGTTGGAGCTTCTGGTTGATGTCCTAGAAAGGTTTGTCAGTAGTTGTGACACTAGGGATCTCATCACACATACCTTCTCCTTCTGCTTGGAGTCGGTGGGCACGTTCACAGACATGATGAAGTATGTATCGAAGACCAATGATGAAGGGATGTGATAGCTAAAGAGGTATTATGTATGAACTAACAAAGTTAGCAATTCCGTTTGCATCTATGACAAACACGACTCACAATTAATGTATTTATTGAACCTATGTAGGCACAAAACAAGGGGGTATCACTGGGAATGAAGGAAAATATGGAAGGAGAAAAATTGAAAGGGATGACGGAATATAAAAGAGCAAAAGACATAGCGCCATTATGATGGTCAGAGGCAATCCCTACTACAAGGAGCTCGCCTCGATACCTGAATACGTGCATATTCCCTATAGCTTTTGGTGATCGACACTTGACGTCATTTTACGGAAATCTGCTTCCTCGTTGCTGTTACGCTCTAGACCATTTTCAAGTTTTTATATTTGGATATACATCTGTGTCATATCAGGTCATCTTATGGGATACAGATCCACGTCATCCACTTTGCTCCATCGACATCCACTACACCCACTACACCCACTTCACTTAATCTAGCTTCCTATATGAAAAGCTATAATTCCTCCATAATCGATAGTCCATAATCCATACTCCAATATCCACAATCCATCAAATCCATCCAATCCCCCCTTTTCAAGATCTACGAACCTAAGAGATCGGAAAGTCTTGGCGCACGCCATGGGTTGTGGGTCTAGTATATCAGAGTCTGCTCAGTTTGACGTCAACACTTCGGATCTTCTCTACGGAATTGGATCAGCTCAATGGTCTTCCAAGGTTGGGCGGTGATTTGGGTAGCCAAGCTTTTAGCGACCAAAAAACTAGGCTTGTACAATGCATGGGCTGTACACTCCTGACTAGAATTGAAACAGTGTCTCCATTAGATTGTGTTATGTTTCACATCTTTAGTCTAATTGGGTTGATCGACTCTGAGTACCATATGTCAATGGTTTCAGATATCTCGGTCCTCTCCTGGAACCTGATCGACCGTTCCCGTCAGGGATCCTCTATCCTCCTATACAACACCAGAAGTCTTGGAGATTTTATTTCCATTTCAGTCCGTTCTGTATCTGCAACTAGGAATTGAGTCTCTGATGGTTGTAGATTATCATCACGTTACCATGTAATACCAACGTCAGCCTTTACATGAATTATCGTTCAGAAGCACAACACCCATCAAGCCCTATGAAAAGACCACTAACCCCAAACTTGCTCCGAGATCCACAGTCCAGGCCCACTATCTTATTCAATCCATCCAACAGGTTGTATGTACAAAGTACCGAGTACACGAACACCACATCATCCCACATGAAAATGATCAACCATGCTCTATACTTTCTAATTTCCCCCGCCCCAATACCGCCTACTGTCCTCTACAACTTTCCTTTCCCATCCCTTCTCAACCAACGGCCCAATCACCTCTACCACACTCTGTCCCTTCTCGAAAACACGCCGACATGGTAAATTCAGCGTCAAATTTTCCGGATTTCCAACACCAATAACCCCCTGCAATGCCTTCTCCGATGCCAGATACACCAGCCGTCCAATATGCGCCCAGTAGATGGTCCCCGCACACATCGCACACGGCTCCCAGGTCGACACTAGCGTGCAGCCCGCCAGGTAAGCCCAGTCATAGTTGTCTGCGGCGTTGCGCGCGAGCTCGCTTTCCGCGTGTCGCACGTGCGAGAGAGAGTTCGAGGAGAGGAGGATTGTTTCATTGTCTGGGGCTAGAAGGATCGCTGCGAAGGGTCGCTTTTTGTGTAGGTCTTGCGCTTTCGCTTGGTGGGTGAGGACGGCGTGGGATGCGGCGGTAATTTGAAGTTGTGTGAGGGGGGTGAGGCTTAGGTTAGGAGTAGCCATTGCGTGTGGTTCGTATGGTGGGACTGGATATAGGTGGGTGAGGATATCGGGGTGGGTTCGGTGGATTCAGTGGGTTTGGGAATTGTGGATTTTTATATCAAGCCCGAAGCTATCTCTTCAGGTTCGCGGCGGTATCCGACGATGCGAGATAAGGGGTGAGGGACTATTCCTTTCCTCCCCTCATTATAGGTGAGACATTTGAACTTTGACTGGTGACATGGGGTATGTATATCGTGAATTATATATTGAATAAGTGTTATGTACAAAGACATAGAAGTCATTATTTACATGTGAGATCGTCAGGAGTCCGGAATTCTCGAACTCGGGCTCTGGGCATCGGAAAGATCCCCTCTTAGTGGGTCCGTGGACGAGCCCTTGGAGGTCGTTCGCATACGATACTCTGGATTCTCCGTAGTTCTGTCGCTATCCGGCTGCGGTGTGCCAGCATTATGGAATGAAAGATCCACGAAATTCGACAGGTCGGTGGGGGCCGAGTTACTGCCGTTGCTCTCGGTGATGCCCACCAGTTTGCCTAGGATCGCATATTCCAGTTTGAGCTTCACGCTGTAGACCATTGCCTTGAGAGCGACATGGATTTCGAAAAGGCCCGAGTACTGTACTCCGATAACGGCGGCATCCATGATAATCATGGCTATGTTCACGATCAGGAGTTGGACCAAAGTGCCTCGAAAACGGCCTCTTGGGCGGAGATTCAGCAGTCGCACAGCTTCCCAAGAGTAAATTATAGAGAGAATGATTTCTTGTATGGAGAAACCGACCAATTGGATGCGCTCGAAGATGTTAAATCCGCGGATGAAGAGGTATGATTTGTTCGAGTGGCTGCCAAGCTCGAGGACGATTCCGGTAAGGTGTAGGATGATCGCGTCGACGATAATCATGGCGAGAGTGGCGCGAAGGACGGTTGGACTGTGACAAACAAGATGCAACCGAGACCAGAGGACCAGAGACTGGCCTGTGACCATCCCGACCCAAGCGACTAGCTCCATCGCCACGGGGAACAAGTTGGTGTATATGTCGAAGAAGATGAGGATGTAACCGAGCCCAAAGGGGATGATACTGAAGGAGGAGATGAGGAGACACCAAAAATAGCACCCGCCATATCTCTTGAAGGTGGTGAAGCACAGAACAATCAATTCCAATGCATTATACCAAGCAATGCCGATGAAACAGGCGACTACTGTGAGCTCCGCAAATCGGTCATCGACAGAGCGATCAGCGATGCTGAAATTGCTGCCGGGAATGTCGGCACGCGACATGAGGACATCGCTGTTGGGAGCGTGTCACGCAATTATATACACATTGCAAGACGGAAGTATGGCCAGGAGAACGACATGTACAAAGGAAAGAAGCCTCTGAGGGAGGACGTAAAGTAAAAGGGATATATGCAAGTCGAGGGAGATACGAGGCGAAACGGCAGAGTGGCGGAGAAGGTCAAAGATAAGACTTTCTGTTGATATAGATTGATCGCAATTGGATCCTCACAGAAGAAAAATCGGGGGCATTTTCGGGGCAGCCCCGATGGCGGAGATCGGGTGATCTTCTGATAGGACGCTTGCGCCTCGAGGCTACCTAGGTACGTACCAAAAGTTAAAGCGCGATTCCAAATTATAATCCCGAGATAAGGTATCGTTTATATGACTTGCTACTAGAAAAGATACCTAAGCACCTCATCGGCATCCAATTCTCTGAAACCCTCGGAACTAAGTAAACAGAAGACATATATGAGTCTCACTTGATTAGTGTAATGCTAGATCATCAATTCTTAATACTTAATATGGTGGAGGGATAATCATGGAAATAAAAATACACATGTAGTCTGTAGAAAGGTGGTCTTTTTATTAAAATACCACAACCCTAATTGACTGACGGTGGACGCCGGTTCAAGTTAAGGTTCCCGAGGTCTCACCAGAGTATTAATCATCATATCACGTGCGCATGACACATCCTAGATCTCACATAATGTTTCCCCGGTGATCTTCATTGAAAGAGATCGATGATTAGTTCAATTTGGGATGTGAGTCAACGTCTACTAGAAAAGACCCAGCAACAGCAAGTCATTCCTCAAATAGCAAACTGATCAAAAATAACTACATCAAGTGCTGAAAGTGATCTGGGTCAACGGTACATTGAAGGTGACTTTGTAGGAGGGATTGATAGTGATAAGAATCGTCGCTGTTGTGCTTTTCATCCAAGTGAGTTCTGTATGAAGCATGTCGTTGTCGGTTAAGCAGTTCGTGAAAGGTGGACATGGCGAGAGACTTGAGACATGAGTAGGGAGAAACGTGCGTAGAATAGTGGTCCGTCTGGGATAGATGTCGCGTCGAACCCTGAGGCATATCTTACATACCAGAAGTGGCTGCGGGCACATCTTTGCACGTATCTTGGTATCTTATGGCCACATTGAGTGCGTAATGTTGAAGATGATAAATTCACGCTGAAGAGCAAAAAAGAAAAAGGAAAAAGAAAAGGAAAAGTGCTCACACTCGGAGTCGAACCGAGGATCTCATCATTACTAGTGATGCGCTTTACCACTAAGCCATGCGAGCAATCTTGAAAACCTACGCCCAACTTTGCTCTCTTGATTCAGGTTTTTAAAGTATAGACCAACATCATTTACACAGGTGCTCCGTAGCAAGGCCAAAGTGATTAATGTCAAAACCAGCTTTTGTACGTAGATGATCTCAAATATCAGAGAAATGAATGCACACTTTGTGATCAAATTACAATTAGTTCTCACATGTACTATGTGTTTGATGTCCAAGGGTTTCATTACAAAGGGAGCATCTATAAGATATCTTTTGGTATGGAGTAGTACTCGGATCTTCTTTTTCTAAACCAATTACAGTATCTCTGGTAAGTCAAGGCTTGCACGGAGCACTTTTCACTCCTCGGTTCCCATTAAGCTCCGTAGCTGCTATGAAATCGCTTTGCGCCGCCTCGTTCTTTTTGGTTTTACTATCTACTGCAATTTATTTGTAGATCATCTGCGCATGGACACATTGAATATTCTAGGCTTCTTTGATATATGTGTCAATGGGTGAACTCATGAAGTTCCGTCCAATTACTGTACATAGGTCCTCCTGTGGGATTAGTGCCTAAACAAGGGAACGCGTGGATTGAAGTAGATGAATAGGTTTGAATACACTTAAGACTGCTAGCTGCAGATGGATTCAAAGCTTGTGAGTATAAGCCGAAGTAGAGCAGAGCAAATTTTCCGCCACTGTTGACTAAACCCCCTTATCCTGGCAATCATAGCTAATCTAACAGTACCCAAGTTCCTCACTCTTTGACATTGTGCTCGAACACTTCCACTTCCTCCCGGTCTCCAAATACCTCAACTTGGGTGGTGGAAAACTTTCTGGCTGACACTCCCTCTTCAAACAGCATATCGAGCTCAGCAAATGTGCGACCAGTGGTTTCTGGAACTCGGAAGAATGTGTACACAACACAACAAAAGCAAACTCCTCCCCAGAAAAACCCTGCAAAATTACTCCAATCCCAGGCAGCAGGGTTTAACATATAGGGAGTTAACACACCGCAGATAATACCGACGATATTGTATAGCACGCGACCGAGAACCACAGTTTTGATTTGCAGTCGACGAGTGGAGATTTCTGCCACGAGCGAATAGGCCACAGTTCCGACGGAAAGCTGATAAAACAATGCCCAGCAGAGCATCAGTGAGCCTGTTGCGAGTGATGCCTGGTCTTTATGTGCACTAGGAACCAGGCCAAGGAAACCAAGCAAAAATAAGATGGTGCATAGCCCGCAGAGGCCATAGAGATATAGCGTTCTTCGACCAATTCCAAAGGACATGAGGAGCCATGCCCCAAAGACACCAACCATGTTAATTCCATATTGCCCCATCGCAAATGAATAAGAATTGGATGGTGATAATCCTGCCTGTTCTAGGAAGTATGTAGAGTAATTGGAAAAGGAATTGCCGCTGAGGTTCTGAATCGCCCACACAAGACAGACAACTTCTGTCCGCCGTAAATTCGTTCCTTTGAAACAATCAAAGTATGTGGCTCCGTCTGAAAGCTTCGCTTCAAGATTCGTGGTGTGGCGTATCATAGCAATGGTTTCGTCCGCATTGAAATCCACGTCTCGGTTAGCATTCGTAAGGCGTAGAAGTGCCTTCTTTGCGTCTTCGTCCCTATTCTTTCTGACCAACCACCAAGGTGACTCCGGGGCGAGGAAAATTGCAACAAACAGAGGAACTGGCCACATCCATTGCAATCCATATGGAATCCGGTATGACCATTCATCATCTCGATTCAACATGGCTTTAATGACCCCAATGCCAATCAGTTGTCCTAATCCCCAGCAAAAATTGACATACGACGTGAGATATCCTCTTAAAACGACAGGGCAGACTTCAGAAGCATAGGTCACCGTGAGCGTCTGGAAAATGCCCCATGGAACACCAGCAAGAATTTCGGCTGCAAGCAGGGTTTGGATGTTTGGCGCTGTGAAAAAGATTGCCGTGAATATAGTGATCAGGGCTAGGGAAGTCATTATTGTATAGCGATATCCGAATCTCTCCGAAGCCCATCCATTGATCAAAAGACCAATGATTTCCCCACAAGCGGCGCCGTTGCTGAGGCCAGCTTGCCACTATGTGCGATAATGTCATTAGTAACAAGAAAAGAAACACAAGGGATAGGCAGTAGCCACTTGGCTCAACGTACTGCAGCTGGTACTTGATAAGAGCCATCCGCCGTCAGTTCGCCGTACTTGCGTGTGAATTGGGGAAATGCATAGAAATTGTTGACTAGACTGATATCATAGCCTTCCATTGCGATACACGTGGAAATGAGGACACTCCACCCGATGGCCTTCGGATAAGTTCTGATACCTTGTAGCAAGGTCATCTTATGCTCCGCTTCAGTAGCTGCTTTTGCATTGTTGGTTGCCTTGGCCGTTGGCACAGAGTCCTGGCGTTCGACATCTCCGAAGGCATTCCCTGCCGACGAAATATCGTCCTTGACCATGATTGTCTCTTTCAAAGCTGAAACCACAAGCTTTAGATGAGACCAAAACGGAGAAAGAGTAGTCCTATGGCTCAACCACAAGCGTGAGAAATGATTATTGGGGCACGGAGACATCTTTTTGTGGAGTCGGGGCTATTTATGTAAAGGAACGGGAACTTTGTCTTCATTGTCGGCTATTCCCAAGTATCCAAGTAGCTAATGGTTAAATGAGGGCAAAGGTCCACCAGTCAGTCGGCCACTGGCATGAAGCCGATTTTGAATAAGAATACTGCCAAAGTATTGGTCCTGACCCATGGCTGTTTTCTGTTGCCTTCAAAGGCCGTCCCAAATACTATAAAGAATAATCCCAATTGGTTCATCTGACGACTGTGAAGGAAACTAAAGGAAACATGATTCCGAAAACAATGTGGCGGCCAATAGATAGATACCTGAAATGCTTGGCGTATCTCTTTCAAGGTTTATGCGGGAAGAAGCTTGTTACGGGGAATTACGGGCTTACCTGGGATCAGGTGGAGTATTGAAAGAAAAAAACGCGGGGCCCCCACGGGGATTGTGAAATTTGACATTTTCCGTGATCTCCCACTTGATGGAGTCGGAACTTACCGACATGGGTCGGCTAATGGAAAATCCGTGCCTGTAATGCATCTCCGCATATGTGAGCATCATTCCTCTATAAAAGGTCGAACAGGACCACAGGTGGAGAACAAGGGTGCTGAACTTCATTAATCACAATTACCAATACCTACTCGTGATGCATATCTCTCCTCAAGTTCTACTTCTTGGGGCTGCGACAGCTGTGGATGCTGCTGTCGTAAAGCCAAGGGGGACAACCACAATTCCAGATTATTTTCAGACCGAATATGGTCCATTTGCTGGTATATATTTCCCAACCCCTAACAACTGATCCTTCAAGTGCTGATAGATCTAAACACAGGCCCAACACAAGCCGGGAGCGCACCCTTCCTGGCTCAGACAAACCCGGCGCCGTTTGGGAAGCATGATTATGTGCCCAATACCCCGGTGGTGACCGATGTACCTATCATCGGAAAGGGGGATGGTGCTGACTCATTCAAACATATGGGGAATCTCTCGTACGTATGGGTCGAGCTCACCGGCCTTTCTTCATACGTGACTAACCATGGAATGAAGGCCTTACATGCCTAATCCCTCTGGATTCGGGGTTAAAGAATATTCACTTCCCCCCGGCGCCAATATTACACAGATGCATATGGTACATCGACACGGATCTCGGTATCCCACTTCTAGCGCTTCTGTGGCCACTCTGCCAAATCGTATAGCGGAACTTCTCGGTAACGGGACTCGCTTCACTGGTAATCTGGAATTCCTCAATACGTGGGAATATCGGCTGGGGAAAGAAGAGCTGACGGCTCTTGGCCGCCAGCAGCTTTTTGACAGCGGTGTGCTCAATTGGTTCAATTATGGTCAACTTTATGATCCATCCTCACCGCTTATTGCCCGCACGTGCACTCAGGTGCGAATGCTGCAATCGGCTGAGAACTTCCTGAACGGATTCTTCGGCCCTAAATATGCGGAGAACGTCACTTTGGAAGTCATTATCGAAGAACTTGGATTCAAGAATCCTCTGGCCGGAGATAAGGCATGCCCCAACAATAATAATGAGCGGTCAGCTGGCGGAGACTGGGCAAACGCTGAATGGCAGAAGAAGTATTTAAAGCGTGCAGCGGAACGATTCCGTCGATCAATGACAGGACACCCAGACTGGACAACCGAGGACACTTATCTTGCCCAGACGATGTGTCCATACGAGACCGTGGGCTTGGGGTACAGTCCCTTCTGCTCTCTCTTTACCAAGGACGAATGGGAAGGCTTTGAGTATACATTCGCCCTAAACTACTATGGCGGAAACGGATTTGGATCTCCCACCGGACGGGCAGTCGGCGTGGGCTACGTCCAAGAGCTCGTCGCCCGACTGGAGCACCGCTACCCTCGACCGGAAGAGGGTTTCGGTGCCATCAATGAAACATTGGACACAAACCCTAAAACCTTCCCTTTGAACCAGAACCTGTATTTGGACTTCAGTCACGATACCACCATGTTCTCGATGTTGACCGCGCTAGGCCTCACGCAGTTTGAGCAATTCCTGCCCACCTCCGGCCCACCAGAAGATCATCAACTGATTGTCAGCCATATTGTCCCATTCGCAGCCCGCTTCAATATCGAGATTATCAAAGCGCCGCGGCCCGTACGTGCGAAGCGCTCCAAGGATCCCCATACCTCCGCATACGAGTCCAAGGGGCACGAAACAACATATGTGCACATGCTGATCAATCAGAGGACAATCTCTCTCGGACGCAGTATTCCAGAGTGCGGGAAGCGGGATGACGGATGGTGCGAGCTGCAGACGTTCATCAAGGCTCAGAAGGAAAATATTGCAAAGGCGAAGTTTGAGGACAGTTGTTTTGGCGACTATGAAGTTCCAGCATATGGGGACATCAGGACGGGTGCAATCTAAAGCAACATTTGTTATGTACCTCGTAATTCGGGGACTATATAATTTACGAGGTCGAAACTATGAACCCCTTGTTCTGTCCAGGTGCACAAATTGACCAGCATAAGAAAAAGTAAATAGCCACATTTATGTATCAACTAATCTAGAAATTGTATTATGTATAATGAATTGATGGTGTACTGAGCGAGAACCAAGGCCAGCCCGATGGTGAACCCACGGCCGATCCCGATCTCCCTCACTCAAGCAAACTCATTCCATCAGAGAGATACTGCTCTGCGAATATTTTACAGATTCTGGGCGACGGTGGTGAGGATGGCACCGAGAGGGGTGGCAACAGTGGGAAGGCCGAGGCCAGTGACAAGGTCAACGACGGAGGGAGACAGCTTAATGAGAAGGTGCTTGCCGTCCTTGCCAACAACGTGGAGGAGGTCTTCAATGGGCTCGGAGATGTCCTTGACGAGGTCACCAATGTCAGCGGCCTCGGCGACGATGGAGCCAATGGGGCCGGAGATGGTAGTCAGACCGAGGCCAGCAACGAGGGAGGTGACGGAGGGGGAGAGCTCGATGAGGAGCTCCTTGGTGTTCTGACCAGTGACAGTCAGGGTGTTCTTGACCTTAGGGGCAAGGTCCTGGACAACCTCGCCACGCTTGACGTTCTTGCCGAGAGTAGCAACAACTGTGCCAACGGGGACGCCAACGGTAGGAAGACCAAGGCCGGAAACGAGGCCAGCAACCTCAGGGGAAAGGCTGATGAGGAGAGCACCGACGTCAGCGCCGACAACTGTGACGAGGTGATCGACGACGGGGCCAAGGCCAGTGACAAGGCCACCAATGCTGGAGGCAGAGGCGACAATGGAACCGAGAGGAGCGCCGAGTGCGCCGAGACCAAGGCCAGAGACGAGGGCAGAAACCTCAGGGGAGAGTTCGATGAGCAGGGTAGTGGCGTCAGGGCCGACAACGGTCAGGATGTTGTCAAGCTGGGGTCCGAGGTTCTGGACAACGTGACCGTCCTGAACAGCGGGGGTGCTGCTGGCAGAGGGGGAGGCAGGGAGGTTCAGGACCTTGGTCAGGTCACTGAGCTTAGAGACAACGGGAATCTCAGTCAGTTTGAGTTCCTTGGTGATATCGCCAACCTTGAGGCCACCGAGGGCGCTATCAAGGCCACCAGTGGGAGTGGGAGCAGCAAAAGCAGAGCCGGCCAGAGCGACAATGCTAGCGATGAAAGAGGCCTTCATTGTGAGAGTAATGAGTATAGAAGAAGTGGAAAGAGGGGCTTTGTTTGCTTAAAGAATGACTGCGGTAAGAAGCTTGGAAGAAGAAGAGAACTTTGATGGGAGCGTAGAGAAACACAATATTTATATGCTGTGCGCTGGGCATGATCTACAGGTACAATCCTGCTTGCCCCTGGCCCCTGTTCATATTACAGCCTTTCAAAGAAGCAGCAGTATCCTAGGCTGGCGGGTTAGCTCCATAGTTGTGGTAGTTTCGATAGGTTCAATATGATGGAGGTCTCAAAGAAGTGTTAAGTGGGCCTAGTATCTCCATTATCCTCAAATTTAGCGTCAAAACATGCGCCGTATCAGTCTGAGCAGTGTCAATGCAATGTGCCTACGGTGTACGGAGTACATGTGGACCATTTCCAGGGTCTTGAAAAGCAAGAAACTTCACAAAGATATGAGCAACTGGTCGGACCTAGAACTTGTGCATAGCATAGATTAGAGAGAACGTTCCTAGTTCTTTGATGGTTTCGAGTCCTAAAAACAGCAAATCCAATTGAACAATCCACGTCATATCATGGGACAAGAGGTCTAAATTGAGATCTACATGTCTAGATTTCAGAGTCAGGTAGAATTTGGCCTTAGACTGGTATAGCGTGAGCTTAAAAGGCTTTCCAAGCAATCTACAGAGTACGAAGTAGAATTTACTATATTGTTCCCCATATTGAGATGTGATTCCGCTTGTTCCAAACATGTTATCCCTTTACGTAGGCAACATGCCAATCGGATAATATAAACCCACTTTGAATAGGGGACCTGGGTCTCTTCTCCTATGCTATCATTGATTTTCTCTGTCTGATGTCATGTCAACGGAAATTTGAGTGGAGCGAGAAACAAAGAATGATCTGCAGAGGGAAATCAACAAAAAGCTGCTAAGTTCCCTTTTGGATCCCAATAGCGTGGATCTATATTGCCAATCAGCCCCCAGGATTACCGGATCTTCTCCACTTAAGTGTCATCCAGCATACTTCATTGGTCTTTATAGTTGACTGCCATATAAACTTCTAGGGACCCCCTTTCCGGTAATTGTCGGGTCTCCAGTTCATGTTTTCTTGATGATCCAAATTGTTACAAAGATGGTCTCCATTGGCTGATCGGAATCAATTGACCGCTAGGGCCGCTAGGACTGGCCGGAACAAAGGCGAACTTAACTTGACTGGATACCTATGAATGCCGTGAGCCACTGTCGGGACTTGGGACCCAACGTGTTGCCAAAAGCTTGGGTGCCCCCTACACCTTCCGAGGTATTTTTTTCGATTATCTCTCACTGGACGGGCATTTGCCGGAAACCCGGCTATTATTGACCAAGCCTGAGATATCCACCACACAATGATTCAATCTCCTCTGTACCTACTTTGATGTATAACCTAGACTGCTTGGAATACCTAGAACATACAATAGAGTGATAGTAGTAAAAGTCAGCCAGTTTTGACATTAGACACTTGCGTGATGCACCAAATGTCCTTTTTGATTGCCTAGGGTTAGTATGAGAGAGGCTCTGTCGATCACCAGGTGGACATCTGAACTTCCCCGTTGATACTATCTCGGACTAGACTGGGAATTCCTTGTAGCCAAGAGAATCATCACTATCTTGATTTCTCTCACCATAGGCCCATGCCATGTTTCATTGTTCTTTCTATCCAAACTAGCGCCGTCTTAATATTAGATACCATTCAACTGTAGGGGGTACCTACCAAATTGGGAAAGGATGATGTGATAGCTTAATGATCATCTTCTGTTCCCGGTTCAAGTGCTTGGGGACAGTGCTAGTTTCGACAAATCTGAAGTGATACCAACCATGGTTTAGTATATATATCTGATGCTCATTCCAAACGGTTTGTAATTGAGAAGTGCGATGGCTGGTTTGAAAACATTTTGGTTGTGTCGATCTGCTCCAAATCGACCGACTGGGCCTCGATTTGGTTTATGAAAGGACTGCCCACTGTGGCATATTTCCACTCTAACAAAGGGCGTTTTGGGCCTATCCACTCGGTCTGGAAGTAGTTTCACGGACTGAGCGATATATATACAGTGTACGACTTGTATCACTCCAATCACAGGGCTCAGCCGGTCTTCACGGGCTGAGGATTCGGAGGTCATTGACTAGTAAGGCATATATATCCATCCACTGTTACACATTCGTGGTTGGATCAGGACTGCATTTACTGTATGTTGAATCCACAACAGAGCTCATTCTCAGTTAGACAAATAGTGGATTCATGACTCGGGCATGCTCAGTGGCTTTTCTGGTTTTGCTCGCTTGGGGTCATTGTATTTAGATGGAAAGCACAATACCAATGTGCCTCCACATGAACACATGAAACAAATATATTTTGCCAACATCGTGATCTGCACCAAATCATCTTATTCGTTTTTCACAAATGTCGTGGACCTCTATGAACTGATTTATTCAGCATTGGTTGCCATATGTAAAAACCCGAAGCCTCAATATTATTGCGAAGGTGTACTTCCATCGGACTAGCCTAAGTGATAACCGGATCTGGACTCGCTATAACGTGGACCGGCTATGCGGGATTAATTACAGAGGAAGTATACTAGGTTAGCTCCTACAGTATTCCTGGGACAAATAAAAATAATATGATTGGGATGGATCTTAGTTTCTCTATATAATCTACAGTCATATTTCATGAGTATTTGCACCCCAGTACTTCCTAATGCTTTTCATGTATACTCTTCTATTGTAGCCTGCATGCTGGAGCTTCTACCATACATATATATAAGGGTGTATGTAAGCCTTCTACTTACTACTTATCACTTAACGCGTTCAAAAAAGTATTAACAAGCAGAAAGGAAGGTGGCCTGACGATTTTGGTAGTACTGGGGTGCAAATACTCATGAAACGCCACTGTACGTGGTATACATTTATGATTGTGATAATAGGTAAGACAGATATTACGAACCCCCACCAATAACCTGGGACAAGGAGACGCACGGAGTGGAGCTATTGTCCCACCATACTAGTTAACGGTATGGTATATTTCGCGACGGAGATGGGGGCTTAATACGCCTCCTAGACACGCCATGGCCTTGTAGTAGCATTAAACATCACAAACAAGCGTGAAAACTGCGGTGTATCATTGCAGAACACTAATAGCGGTGAGGTTTTGATTTGGATCGGATATCGAGTGTGGTATGGAGTATTATGTATGTGGGAATTGTACATCTGCCGTGCTATAGGTTGAAGTAATGACCAGTCAGAGGAGACGAATACACAGTAAATATTATTCATTATGCACAGCATGTGGAGGGGTATTGCACAAAAAAAAAAAGAATCACGCTCCTTTATTTTCCAAATTCATAAGTTTTATACCAGATTGATTTCACACCCCGAGGTACCCCGAGTATGCATCGCCGGCCAGCGGCACCCCCAACAACGGGTCTTGAGAATACATCCCTTGGTTCGACATATAGCCCACCGAGCCATCCATCAGAATTTTCTCTATGGAGGCAGACTCGTGCTCGAACTGCTCTAGATGTCCATGTATATCCCACTTCCTATCACAATATTTGAGCAAGTCGCGAATATAGGATAGGCAGCGGATGGCACGTGCGTGGCAATTGAACAAGTCCTCGTCGGCCAATACTGGTGGTTCTGGAGTCCCAAGGGGGACGGACGGGGGTGTTGGGACGGTGGCGCTAATGAGCTTGTCGTAATTTTCGGACAGGACATTCACAAATAATCGACCCACTTGGTGAACACGCTGGATATCCAGGTATGTCAGGAAGGGTAAGGCGCTGGGATTCTCAAGGACCTGGTGAATTTGGCTGATATAGTCCATGCACCGGTCGAACAAGAGGGCTTTGTTGTAGTCGTGGAGTGTTGGATATCGATGTGAAGGTGATAGGAGGATGATCATGGTGTATAATAGTTCAAGTCGGTATAAAAGTGAGAAGTGATTGGGGGCATTCTTGGGGCATTGATGGAACCACTCCCGGGCTCGCCAGCACAGGGTCCAGATGAGGACCAAGGGCTGCGGGGATGGATCGCGCCCATTGTAATGCATTTCTTGATAGCCTGCGGAGAGAATCTGTCGAATTTTGACGATATGCAAGGCAGGCGCCGGGCTGCGTAAGAAGATATGGGTTTGCTCTATAGGAGCCCCTAGTGCGGTGATTGATGGCAAGGCAACGTTCACAGATCCGTCGGAGAACGAGTAGGTTCTCTGCATAGCAGGACTTAATCCTCTGCAGCAAAAAATTAGCAGGGCGGCAATTAAAAACAGAACGGAGAACAAACCTGTCTAGACAATAGATGCAATGAAACACACGCCGGCGAATATCAAGTCGATCCGGATTAGTCGAAACTTCAGCAGGGGGATCTTGATGCAAGCCTAGATCGACCGCAACCTTGACAGCCATTCCAACCAAATACCAACTACGAAAGTGTACCGGGTCAACCAAAGAATATTGAGCAAGCAGTAGGATTGCTTGGATTCCCGAAATTGACCCAGGGCGGAGGACTTCCTCAGCATATGTCAAAGCCTCTGACACGAGAGCCCATGCCCTTTGATGACTCTTATCAGTGTTATGGTATGAGATTGACGCCGAAGCGATAGCGAGAACCATGCGCAGTATCCAATGGTCGAAAGGTTTGGCGAACCGGCCGCCTGACTGATACACGGCATCTACCGAGGTCCAGAAGCTTGTTTCGACAAAGAAAGGCAGCTGTACAAAGACATTATCAAAATAATGTTGTAGTAACGGGGTCGCTTCATGTCGTGCAGGTAGTGAATAGGGGAAGGATGGAGGAGAGTCGACTAGTGCGACTGAGAGGAGAAGGTTGGCGAAGGAGGTATTCGAGGTAATGCCATGGAAGTCTCGCGAAGTCGCATTGACGGACCTTTTGACATGTCAGCGGGGCCAGCCAAAAAAAAAAAAAAAAAAAAAAAAAAAGCAAATCAACCATTGAGGTACTAACAAGAAACCAAAATCACCAACTAAATCATCAATGTCCGACACCTCCCTGCGGTGTGTAGGACCCAATGCACTTTCGCACGAGACGGAGGTGATAGACATTTCCCGAGGGACCCCATCACCCTCCGCAGACAGCGAGGTTGATCGGGCGCGTAACTGACTGATCTTCTTCTCCAGCTTCTCACAATAGCCTTCCAGTGACGCGACATAACTCCTTTCTTTTCCTTTGGCGAACTCATCACTTGCTCCGGAGCAAGTGCTTGCCTTGCTGACTCTTTCACAAGCCGAACACGCGGGGAGCTTTCCGTCACATTTGATCTTCGCGGTCCGACATCTTGAGCAGGCAGCGACTGGACGACTGACCTTGAGTAAAGGATTATCCAAAAAGGTTGTGACGGGCATGTCTGCTCATTATCCTGGTCGGGTCAGCAAATTTGAGGATATGGGACTCCCCACTCTTCCCCCCCGGGTGCATCCACTCTAAAACGGTCAAGAGAATACTCACATGACATGTAGAGAATACCCAAATCTTTGAAACCTTTGAAACTTTTGAAATTGCATAGGGAAAAGATGTGCAACTAATGTCAGATAATTATGAAATAAGCATGAAAAGACCATCGAAATTGAAAGATCGGTGGAACCGCACGGACTTGGGAATCCCTCCCGGTAGGCTATTTTAGTATTAACGCCTATTAACACTGGTTAAGCCTATAAATGCTACTGATGTTATTGGTGCTAATATGATGTTATCGGATGATATTAGACTATTAAATACTTGGATATGATCTACTACAACGGTATATCGTTTATCAAATCAACCAAAAGAAATACCCAGTCCTTTTTTTCAGCTGCGCCAGTGCATATCCACACGCCCAACCCTTTTCCAACGCGGAGACCCAAAGTCTGTCGATCCAGATCTGGACCGAGGCCTGGTGGTCCCATTTCTCCATTTCTACTTTACACAAATTCCTTTGAATTTCTCAACCTTGTCAAGGCTCTTGAGAGCCTCATCATGTCGACTTCTCAAATCATTGTACCTTGACTATAAAAATCGATGATGTGATACGACCCTTTCTTGACCTTCCTCCGTATACCCTTTTTGACCATGATCTCGAGTCCGGACTCTTCCACAGGGCTGAAGTCGCCGGAATTACACTCCCTAGAGCCACCGGACGGTCGCATCGCTCACACATTGACTGCCTGTACAAGGTGTAGACAGGTATGATGCGACTATCGGTCCCTCTCCACCTCCCCCCATCCCCGCCATCTCGGACCGTTTGCCCCTCTGTACCTTGGCACTGCCCTTGTTTCTTTGCCTCTTTCTTTTCCCTATTCGTGGCGCTATCTCCGGCTGACCCACATTTCCGTGTAGCGAAAGTCCAGATGCGATCCCGGAATTCCACGATGTGCACCCTGCGAACGAAGCAATGCCAAATGCGTGTATTATGACTCGGCCCGAGACTCAACTATACCTCGAACCTATATCGTATCGCTCAGAGAGAAAGCCCGGGCGTTAGAAAGAGAGCTTGCCAAAGCTGAGAAGGAGATCAAACATGCTGCCGATGCTGAGCTGATGGTACGGGGGGCCGGGCGCATCCGGTTTAAGGAGAATGATGAAGCACGATACCTGGGTGCCTCGAGTGGTATTGCCATGACTCGTTTGGTCATGGAGATGGCAAAGCAAAACACCGATTCTAAGAGCATCAAGGATGTGGTCCCCGAATTCACCGCACAAGAGATCAAAGACGCATTTGCCGAAGAGGACTCAAAGCCGACATCCAAAGTCTATCCCATGATAAGCTCGATCCCACAGCCCAACCTACCACCAAAGGCCCTGACCTATAAATTAATTGATCTCTTTGTGGCTAAAGGTACGGCGATGACTTTGCTCGGATCCTTCTCTTGTAGTTCGTGTGACTGATTGATATAGCACAAGCACTACTTCCGATCCTACACGAGCCCACATTTCGACAAGAGGTAGAGGAGGTCTTCAATGGCTCTACGGATCCCTGCAAAAATTTCCAATTGCGGATGGTCATCGCCATCAGCATGCAGAAAATGAGTACCGAATATGCTGGCCTCGCTGATAGTTATTATCTTGCGGCCTTGCCCTACCTCGAACCTACGCTGAAGCGATTGGATTTAGGGGCTCTACAGTGCCTCGTGCTCATTGCCTCATACTCAATGGTAACGCCTACTCGTACGGCTGCGTACTGGGTCGTGGGGACGGCTGCCAAACTTTGTCAGGACTTGGGATTGACCGAAGAAGCCACCGTCACAAAATCACGGTGTGGGAAACCATTGAATCCCCTGGAGATTGATATGCGTCGGAGGTTATTCTGGATCGTCTCATCAATGGAGTTCGGTCTTTCTCATAGTCTAGGCCGATGCAGCAGCTACTGTGTCAGCCATGACCATATCAATGTGAAATTCTTTGAACTAGTGGACGACCGGTACATCACCGCTGAGGGGATCACCCCTGGAGCGAAACCCGTTTTAGCAAAGTGTATTGCAGTTCACTTTTTCAAAATGCGACTACTTCAATTGGAGCCTAGGAGGATGCTCTACTCGAACAGACGAGAGAGTCCGCTTGATGATCAAGATCCATGGTTCTCTCAAATGTTGGCTAAAATCGACCATTGGATGGCCACTACTCCTAAGAACGACGATGGCAGTGGGCTCAATGTGAAATGGTTTGTCGGTATTCTCATTTGCCGGAATGCGGCTTTGCTGACGATTACTTCCACAGGTTTCAAGGAAGACGGAACACTATGATAGTTCTCATGTACCGTCCCTCGCCGCAAATCCCCGAACCAACCGTTGGTGCCGCCAAAATCTGTTACGAGGCGGCCATTTCCAATATCGCTATGCATAAAGAACAGATGATCACCGGATCTGTCGATCTCACATGGGTGTTTGTACAAGCTCTGTTCATGGCTCTAAATACTGTTCTCTGGACCCTCTCCTATCCCGAAATTCGAAAGGAGCACACCATCGAGGAAGTCCAAGGGCATCTGGACACGGCCTTTGAAGTCATCGTATTTTCCGCCGAACGTTGGCCTGGAGTTCAATCCGCCTTCCTTCTTTACAGGCGCCTTGTTGCTGCGTGCTTGAAAGCGTACAGGACAGAAGAATCATTTGTTGTTCACTCTCCTTCTAACCATCCTACGCCAACCTCCTCACAAGGGGTCACGAGCCCTCCAGCGATGTCCAGCCCGTCAACCAGTACGACCGCTTCATATTGTTCCAACAACTACCGTGGTGGCAACTTACCAGTTGGTGATACCGCCTCGATCGGTACTTATTCCAGGGGGACATTCGGCCGATCCTGCATTCAATGAAGAATCGACCCCACCTGCAGTAGCCCCTGGACCGTCAAAAGAATCAGCAATGCCATCGGTTTCCTCCGCATTTGGCATGCACCCGCCACTTACAGCTCAGAGTGCGGCGCCACAATACACTCCAGAAGCCTACGTTGGGCCGACGCTCTACCACGATGTATCGATCGACCCGAACACCCCTTACAACACAATACCTTCAGTTGTTCCCGGCCTGCAAGGCTGGGACCCTAACTTCTCACTTGCCTCAACGACAGCGGGTTATTTGGCATACACCGATGCGACCGTCGATCCCATGAATTGGTCCAACTCCATTGGAGATCAGTACTCTCAGTACTTCCATGAGCCATTTCCAGTACCTTCATGGCGTGAGCGCACCCTCAGCCAACAAGAACAAATCGAGCTTCTGGCTTCCCTTGAACACAATATACCCGATGTATCTGCCCAACTTGTTAATGAGTATAATGCTTACTATCAGTCCTGATATTCTGATGCAGTCGATCTCATTCCGTCTGCGGAGATCATTTTGTATTGGAGAGCTCTGGCGCTTAGTTGGGAGTTATTATTTGATTCCCGGTATATCATTGCTATTTCTGTTTTGGACTAGCTCGTTTCCTGACTTCCATAAAATATGTATTCTTCTGATGGTCATGTTACCAACTGGGCTGGCGGTCGCTCATGCCGAGAAAAGCGTCTTAGGCCACCTGACTTTGTCTTTCGCGGCGCATAATCTTGCAATAGTCAGAGATACCATGTTCAATTCTTTCATGTTGAATTTGATACCTGATTCATGGCTTTGGTGGGTTGGGAGAATAATAAATGCAGGTAAGACATTGGTTTCGCCACCCATCATCTGAAGTGTGCGGTAGAATCTGATTCACATATCCTACATAGTAATGTAACATGTATTTGAGAAAGTGTTGAGGATTTAGTCCCGGCAAATATAGCTAAAAGTGCTTTTGAATAAAGTTCTGCTTTTCGGCGACTTGTACGGAGTAGTTCTCGCCACTCGCTAAGGAGATGGCTCTTTGGAGTTGGCAATTGATTGATATACTTCTATTCCTGCATTGTGTTCAGAATGGGTGAAAAAAAAAAGCAAGAGAACGATAATGAATAGATGAATAGATGAATAGATGAATGCATGTATCATACATAAATCAATAGAATGTACAATGCATGTGCCAAATAGAGCACATCGGGCCAAGGCCTGTCACGTGAATGGATCAATTCGCCGTCATCCTCGCCGGCTTTGACCACAAGGATTGTCTCCATCATCACTCTCCTTCACCACAGCCACTCATCAGCCACCCAATTTGCACCACTTGTAGGGAATCATTCTAGTCCCTTGGAATGCAGATGATCTAGTCCGCCCGTTGAATGACCCGTTCGCCTGCTTGAGCGACCGTCGATCGTGACCGGGAAAACCCCCTCTCCAGGCACTGGTATCACACTTTGCGATTCGGATCCAGAGCCGCTCTGGTCAATACCGTCTCTGCATGCTGAACTTTTCCTTGGACTCTCATGTCTGATCGCACTCATCCCACATCCTTTCAAGCCAGACCTCCTTCACCTTCCTCGCCTGCCGGATCTCTCAAAGAGAATCATCAGTTACCCATCTCTTCGGACCACATTCCCCAGACCCCGACATCCCCTCCGTTGATGTCGGTAAGCGAACAAAGTCATGCCGCCAACTTCATATCCTCGCATACATCACCGAATCAGGCGACGGTCCAACCTCCAAACATCTCCTCCCCTCCATCCTCTGCGCCGATGTCTACCCAAGCTTCTCAGCAGCCCACAATGAGCACAACCAACTCGTTCCCCACCCCTGCCAGCAGCGTGAGTGGTCATCCTGCAAATGCGACTTCGGTGGATGAGGTGGATCAGGGGAGAAAATCTTTCAACATGGGGATAGAGGACTCGGCAGAAAACCCGGGAGCAAGTCCCGCTCAGCAACCAACACAACACAGAGCGACCAACCATGATCGGCAGTCTTTGCAAACAGACAGCACTAACAATTTTGCCACCGGGCAGGGTCAGCACTCGACAGACCCCGATGTCATGGATGTAGATACAGAGCCGACTCGCCGGGCGGATACCCTCAGTCTCAGTCTGGATTCTCTTCAGAAAGAGCTAACCTCGGCTTTTCATCTTTGCAAGAGCTGTAAGATTCCCCAAAATGCATCATGGCGTCTGCTATGTGTAGCTACATGAATGTACTGATATTGCACATTCTTGGAACTGAAGTTGTTAACACTGCTTTTTACTCCTTGACAGCTCCGATCGTTACTGGTCCAGACCCTTCAGTGGATCTCGTTTCTCTCTATGGGTTAGGTTCAATCGCGCACTCGGTAGCACGCATGGATCCCGTGACGGGAGAGAAAATCAACCGCCTCCGGAAATCATACGAAGGAAAGCTGAAAGGACTGGGACTTGCTGGACGAAACAAGCCCCTCAAGCAGGAGATCGGCGCGCCTGGCAGTCTGCGGTACATGACCCTATGGCCTGAAGAGGAATGGCAGAACCAGAAGGTACATGGCAAGGCCATCAAGACTTCAGACATGGATTCAGCGCTACAAAATCTTCAATCGCGAGCCATGCAGATGGAGCCAGGACCGATTCCTAATAACGATTTCTGGGAAGATATCTTGGGTCACGAAAAGCCGGTCAAGAACCCAGCGCCAGGCGAGGCTGGCAAGAAGGCTGCCCAAGCTCCAACCGCCGGTCGGCCCTCTATTCAATCCTATGCCGCATCTCCGCAATCACAGGAAGCAGAGCGACCACGGCCTAGCAGAGGTCGTAAGAGACATTACGATGACAACAGCTTTGCCGGCTACGGTGAAGGGTTTGTGGATGATGATGATGACCCCGGATTCTACTCGAACGGCGAGGGAACTGGGAAGAAGAAACGCAAGAAGGTATTACATTCTCACGGACCGTAACAAATATTGATAAGAATTAATGAAATTAACCAGGATCACGTCACGAAGGTGTCAACCCCCATGTCTGAAAGGAGCACTAGCTATGGGGTAGGCATGTTCGGCATCGGGGCTAGATGACGAAATGTGTTCTACGATCATTTCGAATCAACCAAAAGCTGTTTCTGCCTAAATTTTTTTTTCTTCGATGAAACACCAATTCTGCCCATATTAACCTAGGGGTGATGGGGTGATGGCTTGAGCCGAGTCTTACCACCGTGCAAGGCCCGGGAACTCGATGTCTACTGTGGCTCCCCTCCCCCTTCTCTCTCTTTTTTTTTTTTTTATTCTCAGTACATGTTGCATCACGGTGCTGGATATACCCGGCTTCATCAATCGGACGGCGTTTTGGGCGGGAAACAAAGCTATCCAAAGTGGATATGATCAATTGCTTTTATTTCGTAAGCTTTGTTTTCTCCCGTCTTATCTCTTTTTTTCCTCTTATATCTCGCGCACAGCTATTCGAGATTTCTACTGCTGTAATGGTTGGTTATTTTTGTTCTCTTTATGCTTCTTGTTTCCATGATTCTTCTAACCCCGGCCAAGATGGTCCGATGTGTTCATCAATGATTACAGGGAGTGTGCATGACACTTCCTTACATTTTTTTTATCTCATTCATATGAGTTTTTGGAGCCTTGGTCTTGGCAACGTGGAGATATCATTCCACGATGACGAGACAAGTATCAAAGAATTAGTCAATCGATTCAATAGATGACAAGATCCTTTGTTGTCATGTTGTAATGTAGAAGCTGCATATGGAATCTGTAGTCAGCTTGTAGTTGATGTGCCAGCCCAAATAACTTCTCGGGATATACCAAGTGGCCAGAAAAGCGCCCGGATATGAAAGAGTTCACGAACTCTATAGGTGAAGTCGAGTGGCCTGGAGTATTTCCATGTGCTAAACAAAGGCCGGGATGTCAACCGCGTTCTCGCCCTTGCAGGTAGAATATCCCGATCTACCACATCTTCGGCCACAAAATAAGCCGGTTGCCTCTCCAAGAACATGCCATTGGTGAGATCATAGCCCGCCAATCACACAGCACGTCCACTTTGAAGCCTGTCTCGGACTCGACCTGAAAGTTGGTGCTATTTCCCGATTGGCCGCATTTTCGGGTTCCTGACCGGACTTTGGGGTTTCTTGGGCTTTCTTCATACGGGGCTCTGTACTCAAGATATGCTATGTATGTATCAGCTACTCCGTGCTTACATGTGTGCTGTGATGGGTGCTTCAGGGTCCAAGCTTCCAACCCAGGTTTTCATGGGTAAAGGGGGTTCCTATTGCATTATACTCTCACTTGAAGTTCTTGCCTGACACTGTATCAAGGCATCAGCGCCTTTAAATCATCTGAAATATGCTCCAAGTCTGGATGACATGAATCACAAAATCTATCTGCAGAACAGCGTTCGCCAAATCAAGCTTCAGGATCCCAGGTGCGGGAATGTCACGGGGGCGCAACAGGTGATTAGTCGGTATAGATATGGTATTTATATATGTATGAATATATACAGAGTAATATATATATGTGTGTATATATATATATATATACACTCTTCCGTTTATACGAAGTATTTATAAATAAGTATTTCAACTCCGGGGAAAGAGCAAAAGCAAAGCATAGATTGTCAACAGTTGAAGAATGATAAGACAGCACCGGGCCCCAGGTGGATATCCCCTTTAGCAAAATGGATTCAATCCGATGTACTCCGTACTTCGTAGTTTACTACTCCTTACAGACCTTCCCAGTCACAAAAGCAAAGCTGACAAAAGTACTATCACCTATCACATATCACACATGTGGGTATGCAGTTCACATATGCGGGGTGTAGCTCTGTAGCTCTGCAGCTCAGCTGCACCCAACACGAGTCTCTGACAATGCGAGAACCCTGCTGATTCAATCTTGTCCAATTGGACATACGAGGAAGCTATTCACGCCCATCACAATGTCACCAAAGTTAACCATGCAGAGGGTTGATGATTGGTCATGTGGCACAGCTTGTGCAATAACTACATTCTTGGCTGCTTGTGACGAGTGCTCTCCCCTATTGATAAGTGAAAGAGGTTTGCCATTATATTGCAATACTCATGAACAACTTTCTGGGGTGCACACATTATGCCGTCACCTATTCCTCAGCCCCGGGGGCTTCCAATCCTCGGAAATGTCTTTGATGTGATCCCTGACAATACCTGGGCTTCTTTGAATAAGCTGGCAGCAGAACATGGCGGTGATGGTATCTTCAAACTCAAGATCCTTACCAAACAGCTCGTCTTCATTACGAATGCAGCGCTACTCGAGGAAATTTGTAATGAGAAGCGCTTCCGAAAATGTGTTACCGGTGCTATTGTTGAGATCCGCAGTCTTGCCCATGACAGCCTGTTTACTGCGTTTGATTACGAGAAAAGCTGGGGAATCGCACATCGGATCATGGCTTCTTCCGTTCTGCCTAACGCTGTCAAGGAAATGCATAGGGATATCCAACTGACAACAGACGACTTGATCTGGAAATGGACTTCAACCGACACCACCGGGCAGCGCGTGGATGTCACCAATGACTTGGATCGACTGAACCATGCCGCCAACATGAAATGCTTCTTCGGCCAGCATGTAGACTGTGTCCTTGGTGAAGAGCCGGCTGTTATCAAAGCTATGTCAGATACAACCTTTGAAGCCGTACGTCGGCCCACGCGGCCCAAGTTCATCAATCGGCTTTTGTACCAGAGTACATTTGACAAAGATATCAAGACTTGTCGCGACTATTGCGCTCAGGTAATTGCCAAGCGACGACGTGATAAGCCTATACAGCAGAGGGATTTGCTGCACGCCCTACTTCACGAAAAGGACCCAAAGACCGGAGAATCCCTTCTAGATAGCCGGGTCATCGACGAGATGATCAATGTTTTCATCGGCAGTGCCACGGCCCCGAATCTCATCGCCTTCACTCTATATTATCTCGCCAAAAGCCCAGCCGACGTCACCCGTGCTCGTCAGGAGATCGACACCCTCATCGGTCCCTCCGGCCAAATTGAACACTTCCATCTCTCGCAATTGCCCTACTGCGAAGCCATCCTCCGCGAATCGTTACGTCTCTGTGCCACAGCCCCGGGTTTCAACATTGAGCCTTTGCCCACAGATGGCCCAGTCCTTCTTGGTGGAGGAAAATACGAGATTTCCAAGGACCAGGTCATGGTCGCGATCCTGTCCGCTGTCAACCGCGATCCTGCGGTCTTTGAAGACCCCAATGCTTTCAAACCCGAGCGCATGCTTGGCGAGGCCTTTGACCGGCTTCCATCCGGTGTGAAGAAGGGATTCGGAAACGGCAAGCGTGAGTGTTACGGTAAGCAATATGCTTGGGAATGGTCCCTGTATGCACTCATTCGCATTCTTAAGGATGTGGACTTTGAGTTGGCCGATAAGGACTATACATTTGATATGGAAGGGAAGAATTTCAATGGCGCTTTTAGTGTCAGGCCATACGGGATGTTCGCAAGGACTAAGAAGAGAAACGTTGCCGTTTGATTTGGACAGGATGGTACATGTGTATGGGATTAAGGTCACGTTTTTGAGGATTGCGGGTTGTGTTGATACCAGGTTTTGCTTTTATCTCATACCAAATTGCCGTGCGACTGAGAAATTACTTTTGGTATTAATAAAGTCAACAATTATATCCATATATTTTTTACTGAATACTTGCCTCGTGGCCGCATGACTTTCCGAGAACATTGGAGACCAGCTAAATCATGATACAGCCGAGACTTCTCACACAGTAGCCGCGTCTGTCGGTTCCTTATTTTTAGACCATAATCGTTTCACCAGATCTCTGATGGAATGGTTCGCGCCACCAACATCATAGAGCGGCCTGTGTTCCTCGTTGACATCATGCATATAATCATAATCGACATGCACAAAGGCTCGCTCGACATCCGCGAGACCTTCCAGCTTACGCTGCAGCGCTTGGCTTACATCGTGAGATTCCCGAAGCTTAGTCTCAGGGTCCATGACGATATCAACCTCCACATAGAGCTGCTGCCCGGAATGATAAGCGCGACACTATGTAACGTCAGCCAAAATGCCAATAAGCAATCCACTCAATCCACATTCACAGCTTACCGTATCCACCTTTTGAATCCTCTGGTCATGAGTCAGTGTCACATAGATACACTTATTCACAAATTCACGCGGAGCACATTTGCCCACAAGCAACCACATATTCTCAAATGCAGTCGACGCCCACGAGAACAAGATAAGCAGCGCAATGCAGCACGCACCCACGGGATCAAGATACCAGACAAATCGATCGCCCACAATCGACATGATCAACCCAAATCCATTGACAGCCAGGTCATTGCGGTGATCAATGTAAAAGACATGAGCAGCCGGGTACCGGCGCAGGCCATAACAGTACAAGAACATGCAGAACTTGGAGAAGATAGCAACTCCAACGCAGATCAGCGGCACCATATCCAGCTGCTCTGAGTCGGTCTTGCCCGCTGCAAGCGACTTGGCTGACTCGATGATCAGCTCCACCGCGACGATGGTCATCAAGGCACAGAACATGATCACTCCCATTGTTTCGACGCGACGCCGTCCAACGGGGTACTTGTATGGCTTTGGGCGTGAGGACATGCGTGACGTGACTAGCATAACAATGGACGAGACGAGGTCCATGAAGGCGTCTGCGGCGGTGGCGAAAAGGGCCAGGGAGCCTGTGCTCACGGCTGCGTAGAGCTGAATCACGAAGAGGAAGAAGTTGACTGTGAAGCTGGCGCGTACGGCAAGCTTTACTTTGCCGCCGTTTTGGGCTTCGTCTTCGGCTTTGCGGCGTTCTTCCTCCCCAGCGGTGAGGAAGCCCTCGATCATTTCATTTTGTTCTTTGTAGAAGCCGGTGAGCTTTTCCTTGTCGTCATTGAAAGAGTATGTGACCCAGTTCTTTTTTGGTTGTGATATAGTTGTTTTGTATTGGTTGAGGTTCAGAGGGTCTTCCAGAAGTGTCATTTTGTATGAGACCAAAATCGGTCAAGGTAGGCCAAGATGGCTCACTGTAAAATTCTGATGGTGGTAAGGTAGGGCTGAAGATGAAGATCAGATAAGACAAAAAATCTTCCGATCTCTTGGGTTTAGGGGTAAGCTCATGCCAAGACGCCCGGTGTCTCGAACACCTCCAGCGCCTTGGCATAGTGGCAGTGCCTGCAGAGTTCCTCTTGGCTTCATGAATTTGACGAGTTAGAGAACGAGCTGTGAGGTTAGATTACTGGGGATTTTTCCGGACGACTAGAAGCCAGAGCTTCCAATCCTCTTGAGGAGTCGAGTGCTCATCTTGGTGATTTATATGGGTCCCATTCTTCCGAAAAGACAGGTTTCACTTTGTTCTGGACATGAAAGTAACAAATCAATGCTCTCTAGCGGGCCTGTGGTGCCTTGGAATCTTTGTGTGAACAGAAAATGGTTGTTGGCTTTGAGTGTTTATGTTGGGCATATTCTGTCGAGTAATATTGCTCCCAATATATATTCACAATCTTATACCCCATTCAAAACTAATTCACATAGTCGATAGTTGAATATGTATCTTTCAAGGCAAAAGGATTTGCATATCTCAAGCCTCTGCCTAGTTGCAAGCTTCCAAACTACCAAGGTACGTGAACTCACCAGGAACAAAGTACAAAAGCCCTAAACTGACCTCATTGAATTCCAGCTCGAAATCCATGCTTATGAATACCTTACATATTTATTGATTTTTACCAGATTATTTGACTAAACTTCAAACCTGTATGTGACACCCGGGACTTCCAAATCTGTCAGCCTTGATCGTCACATCTCTAGACAAGGTTTATTTTCCGAATCTTCATGTCTTAAGGGGGAGCCCATAAGTCACCGGCATAGACTGATGAGTTTTCCGATTGGTGCCAAAAGGCCGTCCGCGTCAGAACCCCGTTAATATCATTCCACGCGTTATAGCTTCCTGATTCAATGCTCTCCTTGATCAGAGTTTTTTTTTTTCAAATATCAAATGACGTAGGACGAAGGTAAGCCGAGCTTACCCACCGATTCATGAAAAAGGAAAGGAAAGCAAAGGAAATCCGGTTCGTGAGAACGTCTATGGAGGAGCTTTCCTTACAGCGTTTCCCCAGAGACAATGTCCCTGCCTAAGGGTGAGTCGATCTATCGCGAATCCAATAATCAAGGGAATCCAAACGGAGACTATAGCTACGAATCCCAAGCTGAACCTATGCAACTCAGGAAACGATCCCCGTGGCCAAAGGTGAGGGGAGGGAGCTATGAGAGCTACGAACATTCCTCAAATACCCGAGCTTCCCAAGGCCTTGGAGAGCTCACCTTCCAATGGCGATATTTGACCAGGCATGTTGACTAGCGTGTCACATCAAAGCTCTTGAATCAGCGCCAGATTAGAGAAATTGTCCGGTGATCGGATCATTTGACTTCCCTCCCTTCATTCCTACTCCTTAGCTACAGCTGTAACCTCGCACGACGAGCTCGGGTCCTGGATAAATGTGAGGAATGCTAGAGCGGATTGTCATTCGGAGGTTTTTTTTTACCAATTAATCTTTAGTGTTTAAATAAAAAGAGCTTGACAGCTCGAATTTCAAGATTCGGAACATTTCTCCACGAGATTCACTGTCTTCGTATCTCGCCAAACATGGCCTCCAAGGTCTTACAGAACAACACCAACAGCAGCTGGATGAAAGATCCAGGGCTGCGAAGACTCAACCTGGGGATCGGGTTTATGCTATCTGCATCGGCTACAGCAGGATATTGTGCTAGCATGATCAATGGCCTTCTGGTGCTTCCCGAATGTAGGCATCTATATACATCTATGCTCGATGGAACATAAGGCTAACCCTTCCAAAAACACAGTCTCTAGATTTTTGGGAGGTCTTGACACAAATGAGAGAGGCCTGATCATCGCAGCTGTTTCACTTGGATCCTTTTGCGCCTTCATCCCCGGATCTTACATCGCTGACAATTTGGGGCGGAGGATCTGCGTGCTCATCGGCGCCACGCTAGTGATCACCGCCTCAATTATTCAAGTCGCTACAAAAAACCCTTGGGTCTTTTTCGGTGCTCGTGTTCTAGCTGGAATGGGCGTTGGAGTCTCACAAACAGCCGCACCACTGCTCATTACTGAATCAACACATCCACGCCAGCGACAGGCCTTCACAGGTCTCTACAATGCACTTTGGTTCATCGGCTCCATTACATCGGCTGCTATTGGTTTTGCTGGACTCGCAATTTTAGGAAGTTGGTCATGGAAACTTCCCTGCTTAACACAGGTGTTTTATCCTGTCCTTCAATTGATAGGGCTTTGCTTTGTCCCTGAGAGCCCAAGATGGCTCGTCTCGCGGGGAAGAAAAGAGGAGGGAATGGCGATACTGGCAAGATACCACGCCAATGGAGATGAAACCGACGAACTTGTTCAAGATGAATTCTACCAGATTTGCAAGAGCATCAATGCGGAATCCGACAAGAGCTGCCGCCGCTGGAGCACTTTCTTCGCAACCAGGAGCAACATCCATCGCCTATCCATTTGTGTAATCCTTGGATTCATGCAAGAGTGGTCTGGAAATGGTATGCCAGAGTGAAAATGCCCCTTTCTTCTAATCTGATTTCTAACCAAGTTTCTACAGGCGTGGTTTCTTACTATCTAGCTCCGATTCTAGAATCAGTCGGTATATACAACGCATCTCACCAAGCAGCCATCAATATTAGCATGCAGGTGTGGAACCTGGGATTCGCGGTCGCCGGAGCAATGGCTGCAGATCGGTACGGACGACGAAAGCTCTGGCTAATCGCGACAATGTTGATGTTCATCTATCTCTCCGCGGCGACAGCTATGTCTGGTCTTTTCCAAGAAATGCATGTGCTAGAGGCTGGCATTGCGGTGGTTCCCATGCTTTTCCTGTTCTGCAGCGCTTACGATATGGCATATATGCCCTTGTTTATTGCATACCCAGCCGAGATCCTGCCCTTCCAACTTCGCGCCAAGGGCCTTGCTATCACACTGACAACCGATTCCATGGCTTGCTTTTTCAACCAGTTTATTAACCCGGTGGCTTTGGCGGCAATCCGCTGGAAGTACTTCACGGTGTACCTGGGCTGTCTTGTGATTTTCATGGGGACGATCTACTTCCTCTTCCCAGAGACTAAAGGCCTATCTCTGGAGGAGGTGGCACGAATCTTTGAAAAGGAGAAGACTTATGTGGTTGAGACGCACAACCCGGATGTTTCACAGGAGCTGCTCGTGATGCAGAAGAAGAGCAGCACCTCATCCTCATCCTGATTGTGATTGTAATTTTTGTTACTGCTGCGTGTTGTAATTACGACAGTGCTCGGTCCCGAAACAGTTTCCTCGCAGGCTAATCCCCGCAGGCCGGTTATTGATGTTATCTAGGGTGTGTTTCTTTGCTGTTCAAAGTTCATGTGGAATAGCAAATCCTATAGATAGATATGTAGAGATTACCCACCATTGTCTTGTGGTGTCAAATTCAAATTGGAAGTTCTTCATAGAACAGCTATGGTGGTGATAATTAGCCAAGGTCATTGAGATGTGAATTTTCATTTATCCACCTTTCCTGGGAGGTTGGAATGTATACATCGTCAGCCAATTAGGAACGTCTAGTTGCTATACGCACTAAACTATATCCGACCTAGCGCCTATTCTTATCCAAAGCCCGATATCAGCGTAGACACCGGGCTGCTCTCAAGTGCAAACAAGTCTAATTGATCGGCTCAAATCCCATCTTACCAAATTACACCGCTGAAAAAAAAATAATCTGACTATATTGCCTACATTATCCAACCCCACAAAATGACCAAATACGAAACAGCGCTCGAGCGCATCGACGCAGCGCATGCCGACGACCCCCGCCAGACCCAAACACCTACCGGCCCAATCCCATACGAACTGCACTATGCGCAAAAAATGACCAGCTACCTCTCAACGCTGAATCCATCCGCACCAGAGCTCTTGAAGCTCGCCATCCGTGCTCAACATTTGCGCCGTTGGGAAGTGCCGCGGGACAGTTACCCCACTACGAAGATCGGATACCACTCATGGCGCGCAGGACTGCAGAGACGACAGGCTGCGATAGTCGAGCAGATCTGTGTTGAGAGTGGCTATTCAGCTGAGGAGGCGGCGAGGGTTGGCGCACTGGTGCGTAAGGCCGATCTCAAGCAGGGAGATCCGGACACACAGACTCTAGAGGATGTTGCCTGTCTTGTCTTTTTGGATGATCAGTTTGATAAATTTGAGGCCGAGCTGGCGGACGAGGAGAAGATGGTTGATATTTTGAGGAAGACTTGGGGGAAGATGTCGGAACGGGGGAGAGAAGAGGCTTTGAAGATTCAGTTGTCGGATAAGGCGAAGAAGTTGGTTGGCATTGCGTTGAGTGGTTGATTTTCTTGTGTTAGGCTTAAAGGGCTTCTTTGTTTTGTATACCTATATACCCAACGTAACCAGTACTAATGCCTTTTGTATTCGAAATCATATAACTTCATCTCGTGAATGGGAAAATAAATTGTGTCTCGTCAAATGTGTATAATACAGCTTTTAGTAGCTCTCCAAAACGCCCGCTGGTATATCCATAACCCAAGTCAAACCAGAATGAGAAACAGTAGGAGTAGAGAGAAAGCAAAAACTCCGGCTGCTGCAATGCATAAACGCTCAATGCAACGTGAACATCATCAGTACCATCATCATCATCAGGTGTGAGTACTACCCATATCAATGAACTGAACCAGTCCAATTGCAGCACCAGCAGCAACACCTCCAACGCAGCACATCTGCACTCCGCCCCAAATTCCAGCCACTACATTGGCCCGGCCAGACCAGCCGCGCACAACACAGGTCTTGACATATCCGAACACAAGCAAGGTAATCGCCATAACACCAATACTCCAGTATAGCGCAACCATAACCTGTGAGACAATGAAGTAGGGAATAAGCGGAATAAACCCGCCAATAAAATAGCCCAGGGCGAGCGTGATGGCCGAAGTCCACGCCTGGTTACAGTCAGGCGCAATCTCTCGATGATGGAAAGCAAGCAGGAACTCAAGGAGACGGTCTTGGGATGCATGCAAGTCATGCGTGATATCCGCAACCGCCGAGTCTGAGAGCCCGTAGGGAGAAAAGGTCTCGCGCACCATGGCGCGAGTCTCTTGCGGGTCCGTTTGGATCAATTGTTGTGTTTCACGGACCGTTGTTTCATAGGATTCACTGGTGTTTGTGAGTAAATATGCTAATTGGTTGCCACATGTGGATAACTTACGCTTCACTCTTTGCGCCGACGTATCCACCAAGTCCCATGGAAATGGCTCCGGCTGCCAGCTCGGCGAGTCCACCGAGCACAACCACTTTTGTGTTTCCGAGTGCGGAAAGACCCGCGCTCAGGGCGAAAGGGACTGTCAGCCCGTCTGAGAGGCCGAGGATAGCATCCGAGACGATACGTGGGTTGATGCGCGCACGGGTGCTGCTGTTGCTGGTGGTTGTGGCTGTTGATTCGTCGGGGCTGCTACACCGTCCGAAGGTGTTGTAGGAGCGGCCACTTTGAGACTCGAGATCTGGTTCAGAGTCTCCATGCACGGTATCGTCGTCGTCAATGCGGGAGAGGAGGCGTTTGCCTGGAGTTGAATTCTCGTAAGTATCTGTGGGTATGTGATCTCGATCTCTTTGCTCTACGTACCTGAGTGGATTTTGTCTGATTCCTTTGTAGGGAAGAGCTTCTGCTTGATAAAGAGGAAGGCCATGATGCTGATCCAGAAAACCTGCTACCAAGATATGCTTTTGGATATCTTCACGGTACGATGTATAGCAGGAGTTCCACGCGATTACAAGATGGTGAGAGGTAAACGATGAGACGAAGGAGGCCAAACTGAGAAATAATTGCTATTCGATCCCACAGAAGAATTCGGAATGAGTGTCTCTTGGATATCAAAGACTATGACACGAATGAAGAAAAGAAAAGAAAAAAACCATCGGCCACGTCTCCCCCTTTTATCACAGTCCCACGGACTCTCACCAATCTCAGCGATTTACGCGCCATAGAAAAAAAAAACGGTAAAAGCCCACAGTTAATGCAGGTCAAACAGGAAATAATGGAGGTTTGTTCTCCAAGGAGGGGCCTAGGGCCAATGACAGGGCTCTCAAATGTCAGCTTTGACAATCGAATGAAGGCCCAGGAACCGCAATGCATCAGCTTTGTCCACTTTGGTGAGAAAATAGGCGGAAGTCACCTTCAAATCCAACAGATACGATTGGTGAAGATTGTTATGATGACCATTGTTGGTGATGTGATTGGCTGCCAAGAAAGACCCACAGTTTAGTGGATCTTTGTACCATGGTACATGTATGTAATGAAGATCGGTGGATCCACCAGCCCAATTTTGATTGGTCGGAGTTAATAAGGCTCGGAATGATCGCGGCTCTCTGATATTCACCTGGTTAGGTTGTAAACATGAAAGTACATACTCCTTATACACCATTGAACGACTCCTTTTTTGTTCCCGAGCATTCGGATTTCAGAAAACCTTAGAATTTGGTAAATCCGACAATTCACCGAGATAATGAATACCCCGAGACATTTCAAACCCCGGTCGGAGTTACGCCTTTGGGAAGTATACGGGTTATGATAAATCTACGCATCACAATCTGACAGCCTAATTCAACACCTTTACTCCGTACGGAGTATCCAGTCTCCGTGTTAAGACTGCCCGGCCTTGTGTGTGACCTAGGCTACACCAAAAACAAAGCGTAGCCGATCTCTGGTCTTACTGTGTTGACATCATGTAAGACATCGGGCGATAATATCTAGGAAGTTCAGTCCTACTGGAGCGGGTAGTTGCATCGGAGACGGCCAAATAAGTAGATGCCCTCAATTAAATACCCAGGTGTGCTCTGCGTCATGTACTATAAAGTATCGTAAAAGTTGGACATCTTGAATAGGTACATTTTTGTTCATTTTCAATGCCAATTCACTTAATACACAGTAACAACCCCCGATCATTATTTATCGGCCCTCCGCACGTTCTACCAGCTGGTCCTCCAATCCCATTGGCTCCCAGATCTCCTTTGCCTTCTTATTTTGCACCCACACCACATCTCCTTGAACGAAGACCACGACCCCACCCTTGCCCGTGGCACTGGCTGTGATACGGAACAGGGGCTGGCCATTTTGCGGATGAGCCTCGCGCAAGGGTAGCATAATGAGTCCCTGCTCCATACACCAGCCCTCCAGGATATCCTTGAAGGCAACTTCTTCCACGACCGGTGCCTTAACCCGGGGTTCGGGCGTAGCCACAGTGGCAGCTGCTGCAGCTGCCGCCACCTTATCTTCCCGGGTAGGGAGGGTCCGTGTCGTAGTGGGACGTGGGAGTTCGGCAGCGGCACGGTCGCCCAGCTGTAACGCAAGGTCCATGGTTTGCAAGCCCTTGTTCCATTCGTCATCGACGATGGCAAGCTCGTTAACCTCCGCCGGGATCTGAGTGCCCCACCAAGAGAACCAGGCTCCGACCTCCTCGTAGTTAGGGTCATTGGTAAGCCATATGTAGAGAATCTCGTGCCACTTGGGGAAGAAATCAGAAACTAGTAACAGCCCCATGACATTAGGCTGGAAGAATGACTTCCAGCATAGAACATCTTTGAGCGCTGTGAGATCTTGATCCTGCGGATTTATGGTGAAGTCCTCGCGAAGATGGCGCGCAAGACGTGGTAGCAGGTGGTTGCGTAAGCATACATCAAATTCGGACCCTAGAGCATCCCGCCAGATCTCAACGCGATCGATCAGACCCTTGCGCAGACTGCATGTGTCGAGGACCGAGCGGAACTTTCTCTTCGCATCAGACATGAGACCAGTGGGTTGTTTTGGGTTGGTGTGTCGTTCATCCAAGTATTGAAGCCAAGTAAAGAGCCACCAGGGGAACTTTCCATCTTCTTCAGAGCCGACGTGCCGTCGGCTAGTTCGAGGTTTCCAATTTTTGAGGGCTAGGCTCAGCTTGGGAACGACCAATTGGTCGAGAACGTTCGCATACACAAATGGCGGTACAATCGCCTTCCAGGCCACGACCAGCGCGGTTGCCTTGGATGGGTCGTAGACATCCCAATCATTCAGGAGTGCTGAGCGCACTCGTGGGAGCCAGAGGGTATAGATCATCGTTTCGTAGGGTGAAGTGGATGCCCGTTTGCGGGGCTCTTCTAGCTTGTTCGTGTGAGACAGAAGTGGCTGAAGACGGGTGAGATTGGACACGAGGAACGTGGGATCTTGAAGAGGTTCCCATTCGTCCATGGCCTGGCGGAATAATGGATGTAAAGCTGCCACTGCGGTCTCTGGGAGTCGGTGCTCATCAATAGAATCTCGATATTTGATTTGAATATCTTCAAGCTTGCTCGTCATCTCATCAAATTTGGTCGTGATGCTTTCGTCATTTTCAAAGATGTCTAGTTCCTCCACTGCGGCGATTAGGCCGGTGAGATGATCGATCCGGGATTGATATGCATCCAATTCATCCACGACCTGAGCTTCTTCAAGGTCGATGAAAACCCTTCTCTCTTTCAATCCCTTCCATTCATCTGCAAACGCTTCCAGATCATTACGGGCCCGCTGGGCAATCTTCAACGCTTCTCCTTCCTCTTGGCTGACGAAGTGTTGTGTTGACATCAGGCCAGCAGTCGAGGTGAGAACGCGCTGTTCTTTTCCAGTGGCATCGACAAGTGACTTGAGCACATTTGGAACTTCCAGCCCTTCCATATCATCCTCAATTTCGCGCGCAGTGCGGAATTTGGGTTTAGTACGCTGGATCGGTGTACCTGTGCCGCTCCGACTCGGTGTCTTGTGCTGCTCCTTCTTCTTTCGCCGCCGCTGCCGTTCGTCCTCGGAGCTGTCTTCTAGAATCTCGCCCTTTTGTGCAGCTACCCGTCGCTCTTCCTCGCGGGTCTTTTTCGATTTCTCGCTCACTGCGCCCAAGCCTGCACCCTGGGGACGCGCCTGTACTTCAATCGGGTTGATGATACCCTGGCCAGTAGTTCCGAGGCCTTGTCCTTCCCTGTAACCCATCTTTGCCATCATGCGCGCGGCAAAACTGTTGGCTCCTCCTCCTGCACCACCTCCAGCCATGCCTTTCCCACCTCTTGACGATCCTCCACCTCGAGCGTTGGCCATGGTGTTCCGGATATTACTAGCTCCACTACCTAATCCACCCATAGTAGGAGGTGTCACGGAGCGAGAGGCGGCTCTAGCGAATCCTCGAAAGCCAGTGGTTGGGCGCGTGTTTTCTTCGTCGGAGCTCATATCGGCGACTTTGCGCTTCTGGCCAGAAAAGGAAGGCGACTCCATTCTTTCAGGGGTTCATTGGCAGGTTGTGGCCAAATGGACTGTTCCCTCTGTTTACAACAAAAGAGTAAAAGTATGAAGTAGTGTCATGGTAGAATGAGTCGCAGTCGAGAGCTCGTGAAATTCACGTGGGGATACGGAGCGGAACAACCTAGTCCGAACCGACGAAAACAAGATGACGTTAGAGTCGGTTACTTCATAGGTAGCTCCGCCTCAACTTTTTCTTTTTGAATTGACTTGTCTCTTACAATTGACGCCCCCTTTATTCTTTTCACCGTATATTCACCTCCAACACATATTTTCACAATGGCTGCTCTCCTTAACAACTCGGCCCGCGTTGCCCTTCGCTCGGGTGCTTCGGCTACCTCCAAGGCCGGAGCTGCGGGCTTGACCTTTGCCCGCGGCAAAGCCACCCTTCCCGACCTTTCCTGTAAGTTGAGTGTATCAGTACCTGTCAGAGCTCTAGATGAGCTGTAACTATCTTGTCTATCCATTTAGATTAAATTTTTTATACTAATGTCTAAAACAAGACGATTATGGCGCCCTTGAGCCCTCCATTTCCGGCAAGATCATGGAGCTTCACCACAAGAACCACCACAACACCTATGTGACCAGCTACAACAACGCCATGGAGCAGCTGCAGGAGGCTCAAGCCAAAGGCAACATCGCTGCTCAGATCGCTCTCAAGCCTGCTATCAACTTCCACGGTGGTGGCCACCTCAACCACTCCCTCTTCTGGGAGAACCTCGCCCCCAAGAGTGCCGGTGGCGGTGAGCCCCCTCCGGTGCTCTTTCCAAGGCCATTGACACTACCTACGGTAGCTTCGGCGAGTTCCAGTCCAAGATGAATGCTGCTCTTGCCGGCATCCAGGGCAGTGGCTGGGCTTGGCTCGTGAAGGACAAGCAGACTGGACAGATCGGCATCCGCACCTATGCCGTAAGTTCTGACTGGCAAATACTCGCTTGTGATGTGAACTGGCCCAGATACTAACCCCTCACCAGAACCAGGACCCTGTCGTCGGCCAATTCGAGCCTCTGCTCGGTATTGACGCTTGGGAGCACGCTTACTAGTAAGAAATCCTGTTTCGATGATTCGCTGCCTATGCTAATTATGTCTCTAGCCTCCAATACCAGAACCGCAAGGTTGAGTACTTCTCCGCCATCTGGGATGTCATCAACTGGAAGACTGTTGAGAAGCGTTTTGCTTAAATAACTCAGTCTGAGATAGATACTGCTATGATGTCTTGCGCTTGATTACCCCTGTATTGTAGCATGTATTTTCAATATTATCGATTATTTGGTGATGTAAAATCCTCCATTTCAGCTGTTTCCTGTTCCTGTCAAATGTCGACCAAATGCGGTAGACCGGGCCGGGCGGACCGCGTAATGCTGAAGATCACCGCAAGCATCCGAAACAAAAGACCCTGATAATTCAACTCCATCTGGGCCTCGAACACTTGCATTCATTAACAACTCAATGATGTCGGCAGAAAGTCCTGGCCAGAAGCATGGCTTCAAGTCATTCTTGTCTAATGCATTGCGTCCCAAGAAATCTCGCCAAACCCTCCGCAAGGGCAGATCGACCACAGACCTGCGGCTGGCCGCACGCCCCAGTGTCGAAGAAGCCCCTCCGGTGCCAGAGCTGGCTCCATTGCACGCCCATAGACTCAAATACAAGGAATTGCATGCGCAAGTGGACTCACAATTGGGCGAGCGAAGAGATTATACAGAAATTATCCACACGATAGGCGCACTCGACGTCAACGAGATAAGTCCTCCGAACTACGACCACAATGACACTCGACCCCCAGGCGAGGGTGAGATAGCAAGTCTCCCACCAAAGCTATGGGCAGAAATAGCAGAATACCTGAATCCTGCCGAAGCAGCAAGCCTAGCATTCGCCAGTATCACATTATACCGAAGACTAGACGGCGCAAGATACTTCAGGGCTCTAGGCCACCCAGACAACCATACCCAAAAAATAAACTTCCTCTCCGGCCTGGACATCTCCCTCCCACACCATCTTCTGTGCATTCCCTGCGAAAAATACCACAGGCGCACACAAGAAGGAAAAGAACGAATCCGCCCAACCCACGTCCTTAACCCGCTCTTCAACTGCCCAAACTCAACAAACGCCCTGAAGCCCCCGCCCCGCCACCGTATAACCCACGGCCGCAACCTCCCCTTCACATTCGTGCAATTAGTCATGCGCGCCCATCGCTTCGGCCCTCAGTACGGACTGGCCCCAGAATCGCTCGGCCGACGCTGGCAGCGCGACGATTGGTCGCACTCATCGCGCTTCCACATCAACGCAGGCCGGCTCCTTATGCGCGTCACCAGTCAAACCTTCGCAGACCCGGGTCTCACGCCGTCTGCGCAGCGCATGCTCCTATACTCGCGCGAAGACTACTGGCCATACTTTAGCGCGTGCGCGCATTGGCGAGACGGCGAGCTGATGCCGGCGTGCAAGTGCGCGTTGGATCATATTCCACGGCCGCGGAGTACTGATGGGTTGCAGGGGCTTGAGCACCGTGTGAAGGACCGGATTGCGGGGCAGGTGTTTGATCCGAATGCGCTGACGACGCTGTGTGGGTTTTGTCGGCCGATGCGGAGGTGTCCCGAGTGTCCCACTGAGTATTTGATTGAAGTCAAGCTGAGTGAAAACCTGGTAGATCGCAGGTTCAAGCAATGTATTGTTGTTACGCGCTGGACTGATCTTGGTGATGGCACTACGCCTGGTGGAATTGAGTGGGGGGCTATTAATGGGCAGAGGGATGATTACGATTCTTTCGTTCACTATGCCAAACGTGGGATTGCAAGTATATTTGAGGCAGCTTTTACGGCGGATACGCTACCTGGGCAGCGGGTTATTTCGCTGAATCCGAAGAAAAAGAAGCTTGGGGAGGCAGGACATGAGTGGTATTAAGCTTCTGAAGGGGATCTAATAGAAAGATCATTTTTTACATGATTTCCCGGTCGTTATCCTGCTTTGACTGGTTTATGTCATGTTTGGGCGTTTTGGAAAGTGAACAAGACCGGGGTTGGGAACAAAATGGACTGGAAGACTTGGAGCTTGGAGTTACTTGAATTTGACATTGATCTTACATTTGATATTGAAACCTTTGCTTTCGCCTTAAGTGGTCTGTCTAGAACCAGTATATCATAAGCATCGATATCAACTATCGAGGTCAAGTCTATACTTCATATTTGGGGTTGTGATGACTCTAGGCTTCCTCTTCCGTCTCAAGAAGTGCTTCATTCACACTCGTCTTGACTATCAAGTCACATTGTTCTCGTCTCTTTTGCCCCAACTCGGCAATGAATAGCATCACACATCCAATAACACCCCTGCTATTGCACTTCCTCTCCTGATCTACCTCTATCGCTACATCAACCCAGCCTAATTAACCCATACCAGAATTATCCATCGCGATGTCCACTTCCCAAAGCCCCAGTGCTGGGGACATGCCGGGCACTATCACCTACATGAGCACTGATCCCACGCCCCAGGGCAGCTACTGGAGGGCAAATAATATCTACCAGCCTCAGATTTGGGCGTAAGTTTCCACGTCATCTCACCACCTATCCTATCTAACAAATTCATACCAGAGAGCCGAGAAAACGACTCTGTGACTGCTCAAACCATAACGAGCAACAGTGGCCCATCCAATTTGCCGAGCTCGTGCGTATTCTAAATCGATGACCTTCCCTGATGTCGAGGCTAACACACATTCTGCATCGTTTCTAGATCATCGCCCCCTGCGCATTCAGATGTCCGTTTTGTAATGAGTTCAACAAGGCCGGAAAGACAAGACTCATGGCCTCGAATCTCCGCCGGCACATCAACAAGACGCATATTGTAAGATTTTTGAGATCCCCGATTGATTGAATCCTTACTCATATCTACTAGGAGGGGAACCCTGCGCGCTTTGGTACTCTTGTCGTCGCGGCTGGAGTGATCGGGAGTCGGGGAATGATACCTCGTTCCGCGCAAGTTGACACCAGGGCTCGAGACTCTTCACATTCTATGTGATCCATCTCCACAGTAATGGGAAGTACCACTTGGGCCCGCCACAGCCTCAGCTGTAGTCGCCGAGTCAGTCAAGCCTTTCAAGACAAAACGACTTAATGACATAACTACATAGCAAACATATGGGTGAAGGAGGGAGGGATGCTCTGCGCCAATTCCATTTGAATCAAATGACTGCCTCGCGTGGTAACACACTAAATGCATACATTGGGATACGTTTGAGAGCGTAGTCACTTTTGGTACAGCCATTACAAGAGTGGTCAGCTGCTTAAAAGGGTACAATCCTATTTCATTGACATAGCATATCAGACAATGTGGAAATATTACAAGTGAATCATGCCAGCGGGATCAACATCAGTCGCGATTGGACTTTTGGGTCCCTCCGAAAAAAATTGCAGACGCCTAGAGTCGTGATTCACATACATCAAGAACAGGAAGACATAGGGCGAAGTAGAAAGAGCGCATATTACACAAAGGGAATTCAAATGTTTCAGGGAAGTGAACAACAAGGGTGAAAAGAGCAGAAAGGAAAAAAAAAACAATGTGGCCATGCTACTACGTATACAGGGCTGGGTATCATATAGTACAAAAAGGAGAAGAAACATGATAGAGGCAAAGAAATATGGAGTCAAAAGTAAAGAAGGAGTAAAGCAATGATGGGGGCCTCTGGAAAAGCTCAGGCCCTGCGAGCACGGCGGCCCATATACCGAGGCCGTCTTGAACAGTCATCAGAATGAACAGCCATCTCAGACTTGGGTCTGACATAGGCTTCCATGGAGTCCGGCGTTTCAGCACGGGGGATTCCAAGCCCAGGAGTAGTTTCATAGGCTAGACGTGATGGAGCGCGATTCTCCTTCTGTCCAGAGTCAATGGGTCTCTCCGCCCCGGGGATACCCACAGAGTCAGAGCGTTTACTCTTGATCCAGCTGAAGATACCCAGGGAGCTGCGCCGTTTGTGCTCGACGCCATGGGACGTAGAAGGCCGTGCTGAGGCTGTTGCGGAGCCCGGGTGGTCGGCAAGTCTTGACATCGTCAAGGACTGTGGGAGTCCTCGCGGTCTAGAAGATGAGAGCGGTTCTTCATGATGGGCTGGAGGGTTGGAGAAGTATAGGTCGGTTGGGGCGGTGATTATTTGGGACATGGGTCTTTGAGAGGTGCCGCCCATTGTTCTGGTTTTGGGGATTACAGGGGATGGGGCACCGTCTTCATCGTCGTCTTCAAAATCGTTCAGAATTGGTGAGCCTTGCAGACGACGAGCGTTGTTGGTCGAGCGGTTGAAGAATGGAGGTATGAAGCTGAGGCGTCGACGAGTCTCGGGGTTGGCTTCCGATTTGGGCTCTGACTGGGCGAGGTCGAGCGGTTGTTCTAAGATATCTAGAGTAGTCATGTCCAGTGTTGGAATACCAGGGACCTCGGGCTCGCTCGATTCCGAAGCGACACTGTCGTTGTCATTGAAGGTAGCTGGACTGGTGGCATTGCGTAGTGGTAGCTCTTGCTGTTGAATTTCGTGGTGGGTCTCACGGGGCATGGGCTTGCGGGCCCGTGGACTTTGCCTTGCAGCGGCAACCCAGTCTTGAGGTGTGAGTGGCGAAGAGTCGCGGTCACTGTTGCGCTGCTCCGGAGTCATTGCCTTTCGTGGGCTGCGGACGCGTTTGATTGTGGGGGTTGATGCTTCGTTGCCGATTGCGTGGTACACATCTCCTAAGGTCTCAATGGCAGGGTTGCTGGGGCTTCCGGGCCCGAGAAGTGCGCTGGCTTTTGAGGACACAGTATTGAATGAGGGTAAGATAGTGCGGGACTCATCAGCTGTGGCTCCTAGGCGGGGAGTATCACTGCAATTGGCTTGCATACTGTTGAAAAGCTCGCTATCATTGAAGCTGTAGCGACTGGCTATCTCTTCCGCAGAACGTGGGTGATTAGCTCGCCTACCAGTGAAAAGCTGATCCTGCTCAGCCTGTGGGCTCTTTCGGGCTGTAGTGCTCCTATTTGACCCATTCGACCCATTCGACCGGTCTGCACCCGTAGCATATGCCGTACTCATAGTGTCAGGGGTGGGAGGAAGCCTGACGCCTCCGAAAAGAGTTGCATCCAATCGTCCCCGCCCACGCGGCTTTGGGGCGTACAAGTCTGGTGTAAAGGTGGAGATGCTGGTCCTGGTAGCATCAGACGATGCTCGATTCTTACGTCTCGTGATTATCGTCTGATTTGCGTCTTCACGGGTCTGCATCCACCGATCGATCTGATCTTCTTTGCTTTCTTCCCGTCCGTGATGGGGAACATAGCTATCCAAGCTGCCTGCAGCGGACGACGATCTCCGAAGAGGAATCTCAAGCTGATCAAATTCTTGCCACCTCGTAGGCGTGTCGAACGGGTTCAGCTCACTGCATTCACTCAGGACACTCAGTCTGGGTGATTCGGGCTCCATGATTTCGGTGGTCGTGTGGAAGCTCTCTGATTTCGACAATTCCGTCCTTGCAGAGTGGGACTGGGTTTCTTCTTCGGGTGTATAAAGGCTCCGCAGAGTGGCAGTACTTTTATTATCTGCTCGTAGGAAAGAGGGTGCTTTCGAGAGTTTGCGTAGCTCAGAAGATGTCTGGCGTTGAGCTACGCTCAGGACACTCGAGTTTCGCATGGAAGACTTTCTCTCTGGTATCTCAATCGTGGCTCGTGGTTTCCGCGCGAAGGTGTCAGACCCATCGGCGGTCATCGGGCGTGATATAGAAAGCCTGGAAGCCCGGCCGCCGTTCTCCAGCATTTCAAGTTTCGATTCCAACTGACAGATGAGCTCGACAGCTTCGGTAACAGCTAGGTCTCGCTTGTCGAGGTCGATTCGGAGTTGCTCGTTAGATTCACGTAGGATCTGGTTGTCTTTCTCGGTAGTTCGAAGCTCCTCCACTTCCGCTACTAAATCGTCCATGTGCGCTAGTTGTTCTTCCATCTCCGCCATGCGTTCAAGCTTCTTTTCATATGCAGCCATTTGTTGTGTACGGTGGAAGACCTCGAGCTTCAGATCGAAATTGAGCTTGTTCATCTTCGAGACATACTTTGGACGAGTCAGCTAGTGCATATGGTGTTCCCGTTCTCCTGAGCTTACTTGGTCCATTTCTCGCATGCCCATCTCTTTGGGTCTTCTCTGGCCAGCAGAGAAAACGTCGTTCACTTTGCGTGCTTTATCGGACGCAGCATCTTCCTGGACTCGAGATGTCTCCGGAGTTTGGGAAGCATTCTCTTTATAATCTTCTGATATTGTTCCCCGGGAGCTTCGGTGCGCGCGTTCTTCTTTCAGTAAATCCTGCAAGAGGGCCGAGGCGGGGTTGACTAATGTAGGGGTAGCAGGTTCTAGAGTTTCTGGGCGACGAATAATCAGTCATTTATGTTCTCGGGTCATCCAACGTTGTTGAGAATTGGAAGACATACCAGGTAAGTGGTTTGGTGTCCTTGTGCCCCGGTGGATAGGGGACTGATCTCCCAGCCATGAGACTTCTGGACTCATCCGAGGCGGAGTAAACATATTCGTTCGGCCCTTGACCCGGGAAAGTGAAGGGTGTTGAGGACGTCCTGACAAGCCTTGAGGGATAAGCAATGTCAGCTTCAATCAATTAACCCTGAGATATTTGGAACCCAATACAAGTAGTTGCCAATTCAGAGATCACGTACTAGAGTTATCTTTAGAAGAGACACTGCGTTTGGGTACAGCCCTGGAATGATAAACGGGGCTTTGAGAGTGCGAAGGAGCAGGCTGACCAGCGGCTGAGCTCCTTCTTTTAGACTTCTCATCCATGGTGGCTGCAGGCATAATGTTTACCGAATGCACATAATTGACGTGCCGTGGAAAGCCCCCAGTTTCCCGGTTTGGACGCAGCCCTGCAGTATCCTGGTCAATCAGTGGACACCACGGTAACAATTTTCTGCACAGTCCACCGGCCGCATCGGAGGATTAATCGATGGGTCTAGGATATTGATGTCGATTGGATATGCGCCAGACGATGTATTAAATGATTGGATGGTGTTCAGTAACAAGTAGGCGCGATGCGAGGGATGCAGATACGTCGCAGCTGGGGAGGCGATCAGAGGTTGGTTGGGCGAACCTGTGGAGTGCAAGGTTTTGATTTGTAGAGTCAATAGATCCGAATCAAGGCACCGAGTCTCAGTTTCAAACCCGTTCAAGGGAGAAGGGGAAGGCGGGGACTGGGCCAAGTCAAACGAAGCGAGGGTGCGAACGAATTGTGATAAATCAATACGGAGTAGACCAGGAAGAAAAAGGTAGAAAAGGTAGGCCCCACTGTAAATGTGTTTTGATTAGGATATTGTACAGTTGCCATGAGAGAGGTACGGAATGGAAGAAATCGAAGAATGGAAACATAACCCAATGTTTTTTCCCAGCCCCCCCCAGGGCTAGATTCAATAGGCTCTTTAGCACGACGATCAATTAGTTGCCAACACCAATCGGATCTGGGCCGTGGAGTAATCTCACTTTGGGGTAGTTTCTGATCTCATAGGCTTTTGACGGAATTTGATGAAAAGTTCCCGGGTACTTGCATTGTAAACGTGGAATGAATCTAGTCTTTTATATATAGTATAGATATACCTCTATTATAGATTCAAGATAAATCTAATACCTCCATATTCCGTATTCCATATTCTAGACTTCCTACTTTCTACCTTTTGATATATCAACATTCATTTCCATGGAACCAAATTCCCATGTCTCCACAGCCTCGGACCTGTCAGGTTTTGAGATATTTGTGGACACGGAGTACGGAGTACTGTGTCTAGGTATCTCATATTCTACCTAAATCTTTATTACAAATGACGGAAAATAAACCACGTACGTCATAGCGTATCGCATTGAAGAATCACATCGTCGCATAAAGTGACTTCCATGAGCGAGCGCAGCTCAGAGCCCAGGAAATATGCCCCATCACAAACTATTACTTACGTTTCGCCTCACCAGACCATATCCGCATATCCTTGGCCCGATCATGAGCAGCGCGGAACACTATTAAGCCGTATCTGTTAGTGACCGTCCTCACACCCATCCGGAGAACAGGTCATAACCTACATTGTCGCTCAGTCTCATCCAGCCCGCGGAGGAAGTCAACCCCACCACCGACTGCACCACGCGAGTTGTGCGCGTGATCAGCGATCTCTGCCGCTCGTTTCTTAAATGCCTGAGGGCTCGTTAGTCTCAGCTCAGCGAAGGAGCTGTTTTCACCAGCCACGAAGATCAAAGCCACCTACATCTCCGAGAACATCAACCATTTCTTCTTCCTCGAAGAGTTCGAGAATCCGTTCGCTCAGGTTGTAGAAATGCGGTGCTAGAGCACGCAAGTCAAGTGTGCGGGGATCTGCCTTCAGCGCGTTCATCACCCTTTCCGAAAGTGCATCGGGCATGTCGAGCGTGACTAGACGGGCCGTTCCTAAACGTGCCCTACAGCGACCACATAGCACGTTAGGAATATCATGAACTCTACGTTTAGTCTTTGAAGTAGACTTGACTGGGTGGGACCTTACCCGATCGAGAGCATTTCACCTAGCCATAGTGGAAGGTCGATCCGGGTTCCAGCTTTGATCTATGCACGGGTCAGTAAACTCTGTGACTGTGCAGTGGATAATAGAGTATAAACTCACATCTTCGCCCGCATTGCCCTCTAGAATACCGAGTCCGGGTACTTCGAGCTCAAATGTACACGGTAGTTTCTGAATCCAACAAGATTAACAATTGTTCATTTCTGCGGGTTGGTCGTGAGCGCATGTGGTCATAATAAACCCACCTGTGCATCAGTCAAGATGGAGTCAATATCATAGTAAGACATGATGACACGTCGGAATATTCATGTTCTGTTGATCGCAAAGTTTTGAGATTGAGGCGCGTCGATAACGGCGCGCGGTCACGTGTTATACACGAAATGTCAAATGGGTGGAGAAACCAATACATAACATCCACCACAACTACTGGGAGTTAGGTGCTTTGGGGATCTTTGTCTCTTTTCTGGCCTTCAATGGCTATGACAAATTCAATATGATCTAACAGGACAGAAAACTATAGCTCGATGATTCACGGTTATCCTGCACTTCCAAGTCATCGACTATAGATATGTACTCCATACCAATGATACCATGCGAATAACAAAGGAGAGCCCCCTTTTATTCACAAGTGACTTTTCTACTTATAAAGTCCCCAGAAGGGTCATTTCAAACTTCCATAGGACTAAAAATACAAATACAATCCTGCGTGTCGGACCTGAGTCCGAGATTTTGTGCTTAGTCGCTGACCCCAGGAATAGGTATATGTCACCAACCCTATGTGGCGTTACACACATGGATGGATACATGCATGCCACATCGTCCCGATCAAGAGACGTATGTTGTATTTGAATAGAATATTTTCATCTTGTCACTCGATGAAAGATGGCTCGGCGCCATTAAAAAAAGCCGACCTACTTGTAACGCTTCGTTTCTTGGACATCGACGAGTTTCAGTAGACCTATTTCTGAGAATCCTGTTAATCCTAGTGGACTCAGACTGCTAGAATTGAGGCCATGACATCTGATCAGTTCGACCTTGTTCACTGAAGAATGGCACAGATTCATTGGATCGGATTTAATGGTTTCTCCTTGTATCAGAAGATAACCTCGCATCATTCGGCTTCTTCGACTAGAGGAGACGGATAATGGCACAAGAAATACTTATCCAGTGAGCTGAGTTTGTGGATAGCCTATGGATAGCTTTCTCGCCTCGGGACACAGGGAAGGGTTTATCTCATATATAGCCGGCATAACCTATATTTCCTTTCCCAGTAAATTCTCAAAACGTAGTGAAATTTCCCAAACGTAATGGCAGTCATGACCATAGAGACCGACTCACAGGCCATGCAGTTCAGCAAATGGATCGTGACTAGTGTCCTCATGCCGGGTATATTCCATGATATTCGAGATTTTCCTCGCCATATCGCTACCATAGACCTCTTCAATCCAAGCAAGAGTAACATCAACCCCAGCACTAACCCCAGATGAAGACCAAACATTACCATCAGTGACCCATCTCGCATGAGGAACCCAATTAACTTTCACAGCTAAACCGGTGATCTCAGCCCAAGCCATCTTATTCGTCGTGGCTCGTTTTCCATCCAGAACCCCTGCTCGTGCTGCAAGCCCCGAGCCCGTACAAACCGTAATGAGATATTTCAGCTGAGGATATACGTTTCGGATGTACGAGATTACTTCTTCGATTGCTGGGCTTGAACCGCGCGTTCCGATGCCACCAGGGATGAAAAGCAGATCCAAACAAGGCGCTGTTGCAAAGGTGTGGGTTGGCAGCACGCTTTGACCTATGGCGTTGGCAACCGCCTGTGGTTTTGTTGTCACTGGTTCTAGTGTTGAGGATAAAAGTGCCAAGGTCACATTGTGGCTCCATGAGAGGACATTGATGCAGTCCATTGGCCCGAATACATCCAGGGCTTGAAAGCCTGGGAATAGCACGACGCCTACGCGGAGAGGGGCAGCCTGGTTTTCGGATTCTAAATACTTAATCTATTAACATGTGGAATATGTGCTGGAAGTGAGGGTCATACCAGACATATTGTTGGCTTTGATAGAGCGAAGAGAGACAAGAAATGATTGGTTCTCGACAAACAAGCAGAAGCTGCCTACTCAGATGGATAGATAAGTAGTCGACGTATTTCACATGCGAGTGGCGCAGCTGAAACGCCATTGGAGGCCTGACGGACTAGGCCCCAACCAGGTGACTGTCACAACAGTCTTGACGCTGCTAGGGATAGTGTTTAAGCCCTTCTATCTGTGGTTGAAGGCGTAATCTCCTACATTGAGATTGCTTTAGAACGGGTAATCTGGTCTTTATGTACATAAACAGCTATTGGAATGGCCGAGCCACAACCTTGCGTAACTCGGAGCTCGGCAGCTTTCCATGATCCGGATATGATCCAGGCGATCACCGTTTCCCGGGAAAATAAGCTTAACTGTCATACCGTTTACACAGACATGTATATCAAACAAATAACCAATCAAGCATTACGAGAATTTTGCGGGACCATCACGACAACCGCCTCATTTCTGGTACCTTTATTGCTTTCCATTCTACATATAATAAGATAAAATGCAAACCCTTTGATAGTGTTCCGATATACACACTATTTTAATAATAGAAGTTGAAATCCCTAGTGCGCATAGTAGCGAACAAACCCCATTCCAGCTAGCACACAAATATGCTCGAGATGAGGGTTGAAAAATACCCATACACTTGCAATTTGGCCAATGGGTACAGCACCGAATATTTCCCCTGAATCTACTACCATCCAAGCTCCTCACTTCTTCCAAAATGGCCACCGGCCTCTGACTTTCTGTTGCTGTATGGGCACGTGCGAAAGATCAATATGACCTATTATTGAATTTGAAAAAAAGTCATCCAAGTCTACGGTGCGACCTGAGGAATGCCATGGAAACTGGCGCAGCCCCAATCTCCTCCGCCAGGATCCCATGGTGATCACTTTCTATCGAGAATAATGATATTCCTTTCTACAACATCGGCTACGGCAGACAACAGATTATCTCCAAACATTTCAAGAAAATCGAGTGAAACAGTTTGATCTCACCTCTAGTTCGTCAAATGGCATCTCGGGAAGCAAGAGTTGAGATTTGCGGTGCTGAAGGGTCCGCAAATCTGGAAGCAATGCAAACATGGTTGAGATGCAATTAGACAAGACAAGACTGGGATATAAGGCAGTCATGATTCCCGGGAGAAGGGGAACTCAGATGATCTGGCCCGGAAATGTGTTCATCGACATTGATTTCTCGCAGAAGTTCAAGCGGCAATACATGAATCGTTGTTACTAGTTGAGATTGATGAGTGTAAGATGAGGTCTATGCAAGGTTAGTATGGTATCGGCTCGGTACATACAACATAGATCAGGTCAAACGACTATTTCGAGTCTCGAGCACTAGTATATTATTATTCGTCAGTTGCCAGCGAAGCAAAGCAATCTAACCTTGAAATGGGAACAAACAGTTGAGACTACGATATCTGTTGATGACCTGATTGGTCCGGGGTTGTCATGCACTTCAGCTCAGACGCAGACACCTCGGTATTGCCGATTTAGGTCTTTCTATGCATGTTACCGGGAAATCCGCAGAAAGGTAACGAGGCCAGAAATAGTAGGCATAGGGATTACTCTGCACTCCGTACTCCGTAGTGAGGTGTATATTCTAAAGGGGGTCAAGACATTGGAATGCTTTTGAGACAAGAGTACTTTATATATCCCAAATGCCAAGACCTCTAGAACAGAGTGGAGAGAGGAGCAGAACAGAGGACATGAACGCAAAGACCCCCTTAAAGTGGCTTAGTGGGTTTTATTCCTTGATTTAGGAGGAAATTACCATCGTTATTATTAGCAAAATATCACTTCGATTTGACATTCCAGGCTTATTCAAATTATTGTACGACAATCCAAAATTAGCCGGCCTCCCCAACTTTCCCTTTTTCTTTTCCTTTCCCCTTCTGACTTTGGGCTTTGTCTGGGTATCCCGGCTATTTCCGTCTCCTTTTGATCTTGAAATCTATCAATTAAGACTGGTCTGAATGGATAGTCGGTGACTAGGACCTATATTATGGCGTACAATGCCGTCGCTCAAGTTGACCACGAGGTGGCTTCTGTTTCTTCCGCTTCTGCATCACGCAGCCCGTCGCCCGCTCATGGACATGCATTTGAGCAGCTTCCGCTTGATACTGATCACATCGGGGGAGGGAGCCACCTAGAAATTGCAAAAACCACAGACAATCCCGGCTTCGGTCAGTTAGGTTCCATTATCAGCTCCATGACTTCTACCAGCTACGATGTGGTGGAAGACGATGACTATGACGCCGTTCCCTCCCCCGAAGAGCGATCCAACAGCCTCCGCATTCCACCACTCAATACAACTATACCGCGACATCCTTCTCCCGATCCTCCCCTCCACAGCGCATGTAGCGAGGTTCCCGTACCTCTGAGCCACCCTACCCCGGATTTGCAATCGATACAAGGAGCCTACAAAGGAAATGTGACGCGACTGGAAGAAAGCGCGGAGCAGCTGAGCTCGTGCTCCGCGGATATTGAGAGCGAGATCCGTCGCATCGATCAAGAGCAAAAGCGCCGCTCAGTCAGTTCCGCATCCAATTCAATCATTCACCGGAATGGCGCATTCTCCCCAGCAGGGACTGTTTCTTCCGCCCATGAATCAAATATGTCCCCCGCGCGTCAGCGCTCTGTTTCAGGGGCGCGTCTGGCTCAGCTCTCGGAGCCTGCACTTGATGAACACGAGCATGAAGTAGATGAATTTTCCGGGCTCCCTGATCTACCGCCGTCGCAGCCCCTTTTCAATGTCCAGAATGATTACTATTACGACCAATATATTCCCCAAGGAGCTCCCGCAGAGGCAGAGATAGAGCGCCGAGCCTCGGTCGCATCGAATGATACCTACCAGCAGGCGCGAACACTGTTCACCGATTTCGATGGTGTCCATTTCACACCTATGGAACCTGGTCGTCAGGTTTCTTTGGAGCAGCCGCCGCTCGCCCGCAAGCCTGAACATTACAAACACCCACAAGCAGGAGAGAACATGGTGTTTTATCCCGCTCCTGTTCCACGCATGTTGAATCTGCCACCGAAGTTGTCGCGCAAGGAAAACATTGACCGGGATAAGCGTCGAACCCGTCTCGTAGGAGCCATAACCGCTGATGATAGAAAGTCAACCGCCGTGCTACCTGACGCCGATCAAAAAGGCTCACGCGATAGCCACGGCGATAAACGCAAATCGAAACTGCCACCACATCTCCGTGCGAGTGTGTTTTTTGATCAGCCGAGTACATCACTCCAGGTCGAGGTAAAGCATGAGTCTGCGGTTGCTACGCTGGAGAGCATTTTGGACGCCTCTGCGAATGCACCTGTTTCGGCTTTCACTGATCACCCGTATGCTGGTCACATCGGCGCGTTTATCTACAACAAATCAAAACGCAAGACCCTGACAAAGGATGTGGCAGGGCAAAAGACAAGTCGTCTTTCGCGAGCCACAATTGGCCGGCCTTATAGCACTATCAATTTAGACGAGCATGGGGAACCTGTCACTTCGCGACACGGATCGGAAGCCGGAAATGACTCGGATAGATTCCATGATGAGCACAGCCATGAGCGTGGGTCAGAAGGCACTGATACCGAAAGTGAAGAACAATCCGAATACGAAGAGGACGAGGAAGAGGAAGAATTGGATTACGTTGGTCCACCAAACACGCTTATCGCCGAATTGGAGTTGCGGAAGCATGAACTGAAACACCGGCGCCGGACGGTGGTGCCTGTGGCTTTCGATGGTATGCGGTCCACTTTGTTGGAAATGGACGAAATGGCCCAAAAGCAAAGTGACAAACGGCGGCAGCGCCCCGTCGCTTTGGCTTGGGAAGGGCGGGACGAAGACGATGACGTACCCCTGGCTATGCTATACCCCGACAAAGCCAATGTCGAAATTGAGGACCGACCTTTGGGACTGATAGAGAAGCGGCAACAAGAAGAAAATGAGCCTCTGAGCTCACGCCGTGCTAGGTTGCGTGGTGAACCAGTTCCGCAGCCGGAGCAACGTCCGGCTACAGTGTATGCAGCAGAGCCTCCGATGGATGTTCCTGAGCCGGCCGCTGAGAGTGAGGATGAGACAGAGATAGAGACCCTTGCCGAGCGACTTCAACGGTTGAAGGGCCATAAGCGCTCGGAAAGCAAATTCGCCAGCGACTTGATGGCCGAAATTGATACTAGGGCTGGTGTTGCCCCTCAAAACGCCCAAGAAGTCCCCGGCCCCAGCGGGGAAGAAACACTCGCACAGCGACGCAGTCGCCTTCGGAAAGAGGCTGCTGCTCAACTCGAGCCCCCAAAGAACCCGCGAATGCGCCGGAGCATGGCTGCGCTTACACAAGATCGTCCTGCCCAGCTTGTTCGTCAGTCGTCGCATGATATTTTCAATCAGCGGCCTGTCACCATGTCCCACTATGGAAATCGCATGTCCATGCAACAGTTTGCGCCACAGCGAGGATATCCGACGCCTGCAGTATATCCAATGGCACAACAGTATGGGTACCCTGCGACAATGGGCATGAATGGCATGGGGTATGCTTCAAACATGACCCAACACCCTACTCCGGTCCAAACCGACCCGTACGTGATCGACCGCTGGAGGCAAAGCATTCGTTGAAGGCGAGATACATTAATTTTTGCTTGATGTTTTGTTAGCATAGCATATGGTTGTTTTGAGCGTGTCTTTCTTTGATTTATATTTTTCTGGAAGGATATCCATGTAGCATAGCTGTACGACTTTATAGAGGACTCAACGCATACATTTCGGTGGATTTGATTTATTCTCCCGAGGAAATAGTCACGATAAATATTGAAGCAGGTAGGGGCAAGAATGTGACGCGATATTGTAGGTAGGCCCAGGCACTACAGGAGGGCTAGATAGGTGTAACCTAAGTTTTAGCCGCGCGTTACATTTGATCTTTTTTATATAAATAGACATCAAGAGATGATATGTCTACTGCAAATTTACTGCGG